AGCTTAACTTCCCTTTTGTTCACAGCCAAGGCAGCCTCGAGTTCTGTGGACAAAGTAGTTTTATTAATTTTTACCTCAGAGGTTTCACCTGAGCCCTGTTTTACCACTTCCAGGGACAGACCGGAAGGTTCCTTTGTACTGTCTGTGCCAACCGGCACTACCTGTTTGACAAAATAGTCAGATTCTTCAGGATATACATACCCATTGTCCCAGCATGTAATTTTGCTGGTTTCCCAGTTCATTCTTGGTTTGAACTCCTTGAGGAATGGCATCCCAAGAAGGACATGTTCTTTTCCGATGAGAGGGCCCACATAACACTTGACCCAAATAATGTGCTCCTTGATCTCCATCTTCAGGGTCACCTTATGAGTAATCCACTCTTCATCCTTTCCAGTGAACAAGGTCATCTTGAACTTCTTTTCCACCCAATAAGTCAGGATCCTAAGTTTCTGGACCATCTTCTCTGAGATGAGGGAGACTTCAGCACCTGAGTCAATACAGGCCCATATTCCTGCCTTGTAGTCTGGTAGTATGACTAACCTGAGAGGGGAATGAATTCACATATTCGATTCATCATCTATAGAAGTACATTTAGCAGACAAAATTGAAATGGGACTGACTGATGCAGGAGATTCATTATTCCCCTTTAAAAACCCAACAACTTCCATTCCTCCACATTTGCTTCATGATCTCCAACATAGGCAGTCTTTGTGCCATCCTCCAAGAGGATGATGCAGACATTGGACAGTTGAGTTTTGACCTTGACTTTACAGTCACACTTGATGTGACCTTCGGCTCCACAATTGAAGCACTTAATTTCTGAACTGGAACATCTGATGTTCCATTTACATTTGTCAACCTCCATCACATCAGGATCTTGGGAACCTCCATGGTAATGAATGAATTTGCATTCATACCAAGATTCCTTCCCTTCTAGGATATGCTTCATTGCAATTGCAGTTCAGGCTTCTCCCACACACTGTATCCACTCAATAACCATGGAAGGGGCACATCCAGAATTAAGAACCCAGTTGCAGTATTCTTTTTGCAAGCCTTTCCTGAAGAAGATCCCTGCTTCACATGATTCTTCCTTGAGTTGAGCCTTGTTAACAAGCCCCATAAACTTGGCAATGTACACCTCAAGTTCTTGTTTGCCTTGTTGGATGTCCAAGAGACACAAGATAGCAAGGGCAGTCTGATCTCCCAACTCAAAAGTTGCCTTTAGCCTTTCAACGAACCTTTGAAAGGTGTTGGTATAATATATTGTACCATTGAGCATCTTGTTTTCATTTTGATAGTTCTCAGTGAACAACACAGCAGCGTCCTTGGTCATGTACATGAGTGCAAACAAAATCTTGAGGGACTCTGTGTTGTAAACGTGCTTGTTCAGGTTCAAGCAACCTTCGACCTGCATAATCCAGGTCTGAAGCCCATTGTGGCTTCCATCATATTCTCCAGGATGCCTGACCTTAAACTCCTGACCTCCATTGGGTGGGTGGCTCGAGCCATAGTAATCATCCTCATCAGCTTTGGCTTTCCCCTTACTGCTATCACCAGCAGACAGCTCTGGGGGTACAGCCTTTCTGAAGTTCCTACGATACCATTCTCACAAAGCCAAGTCAGTAGGCATACCTGTTGGGAACAGGTCACTTGCAGTTGCATGCATAGCCTGGCAGAGCTCCTCCACCATTGTGACTCTTTGTTCTTCCAACCTCTGTCTCAGTTCCTCTTCTGAAATGGTCCTTGGGGGCATTTCAGGAACTGAATCTCTGTGACCAATCATCATGGACATTTCTTCTTGATTGCGAGCTTCTTGTTCTTCTTTGAGGACTGATCTGAACAAAGTATTGGACTTCTGATCATCATCTTCTTCTGAACTAAGCATGACTTCCAAATCCCTAAACCAGGATAGTTAAGATAACCAGGGATTTGTTGTGGTAACTGAAGGACCAAGTCTTCCTAGCAGGATGGGCAGTAGTGGTGGGTTTCTGCCAAGCCCAAGCAGATTAGGACAAGGAGGGACAGGGGGCTTCAATTTCTGCAGATTAGACACTTTAACAGATAGTGACAACAAAGGCTGAGGGAGGATTTATTTCTCAAAAGAAACCTGTCAGTGTAGAGGGTGTTGTTGGTGTGTGAGTGACTTTACACATAGGGAGACATGAGCACTGACTCTAGGGAGGTGATCTATTAAAGCCTAGTGGCTGCCTGTAGAGCAGTGGGTTTGATTAAGGGTGGAGGGGTGCTTTTTGATCTTGCTGCCAAATAATGAGACAAAGGCAGGTCAGTCTTTATGTGTAGGGAGCCTAGTGTGAGTAGAAGTTGGTTTGTTGAAGTTCAGTAACCAGGGATGAGTAGACTTTCACAAAGAGATCAACGAGTCCTGAAAGCTGTGTGGAGTTTTTTGATTTTGTTATGCCTGAGCATGGTGACTTCTTCAAATGGAATAGGCACGAAGCACACAAGGGGGAGTCTACAGGCTGAATGTGTCATAACCCCTATGGCTCAGTTATCTCTGAGGTCCAGCAGAGGTTTGCTCCTTCTGGTGAGTTCTTCTGAGATCACATGGAGGAGGGAACAAGGACAAAAGAGAAGGAAGTTAGCTGAGTTGCAAGCTATTGAAAAACTGAGGATACAGAGTAAAGTACATGGGTTTATATACCCCTAAGTATGAGTGCCATATCAGTCATGACATGTATCCACAGTAATCAACAAAACAATCAGACAAATAGATAAGTCGAAGGGAGTCATACAGTGTCATATGATGGGGGTGGACAAGGGAACAAAGGCTATACCAGCTGTGCAATCAATGCACAGCAAGGAGCCAGACACCAGAGCTATAGTACAACATATGAGCAATATAAACAAGTCAGAGACAAGTCAACAGAACAAGAAGTAGACATGTCATCCATCAGAGAGGGTGGTGGAATACCAGATCAAGTGGGAGGCATGGTCTCAACAGGTATTGGAAATACCTTGACAGTGGGAGATCCAAAGGAGCCTCACAGCATATGAACCCCTAGGATGGCGACAATTATGAGAGACATGATGAGGCATGTGATGCATGTGACCACAGCAAGTCAAAAAAGGAAAGACCCCTGATGCAGGTGTAACACTTCCCACTAGACAGCAAAGCACTGGATGGTGGGATAGAAATGTCAGATGGGTTGATGGTAGATGGCAGATCGTCGAAAAATGGGAAATGGTCGTCATCTGACCCAGGCAGGACTAGGGGAAGTGCTGGCACAGAATCAGCAGGCACTGAAGTGGATATGGGTTCAATGGGTGTGGGAGTGGAGGAGGGTGCAGATTCAGAAGGCACTGAAGTGGAAGTGGTTAGTTGAATGGTTGGCACTCCACCATCTCCATTGTCTAGGCTGTCAGCAGTGGCATTGGAACTATCTGGACTAAAGGCATTGGCCCCACAGGCACCACCATGGGGTATGATATCTGCAATGTAGGGATATAAATCCCATCCACTTGTTTTGAACTGGCGAATGAGGGGGTGACTCTAAGAGTAATTGTCAGTTCATCAAGCCATGGGGTTAAAAAATAAAAATAAAAATACCTTCACAAAATCCTTGAACACCTGCTCAGCATGCTGACCCTGAATATTAGCCCCCTTCTTGTTGTCCCAGTGGGCTCCAGATGGTTGTGCTCAATAGTACTCAATATCATGATATATTTTGAATCTATGACAGAAGATCAGTAAAAATCACAAGCAGTTTACAATGCTGACTTACATAGCCAGTCCACTTGTTTCTCACCACTTGATAGTTCTTAGGAGGTCCATCTGTGCGATAGTTGGCAATATGCAGGGCAGCAGCTTGATATGTAGCCATCTTGAAGTTCCCATTATTGCCTGCCTCATGCCAGTTGTTGTGCAGGAACCTTACAAGAGCAGCAGTTTCTTCATGGTTCCAATGAACTCGTGGAGTGGGAGCACTAGTCTTATTAGGCATCAAGTGAGTTAGTGAATCCAGAGTGTACTAGGATACAAGGGCAACAACAGTGGCAGCCAATACCCAGGCAAGTCTAAGCTGATCCAGATCATTGTAATCCATCACAGGACATGTTTCAAACTCAATTCAAACTCACTATGCAAACTGCCCCAGTGGAAAAACATGTACAAGCATTGAAGGAACTAATTGCAACTTACCCGAGGTTTCCGAACTAGCTCTAAATTCAGCCAAATTACAGCATGCACATTAGACAGTTTTTGAATGCTCGGCAAACACTGGCGAACATTAAGCACTTGAAAACCCAGGTTTTTGAATGCTTAGCTTTACTGATGGAGGAGAGAACAGAATCCACTGGCACAAGGTGCTGCACGTCGCCTCGGTGCTCGCAAACCTACTGTTCTGGTATGTATGGCTGCATCCGTTGCCCGGCCTAATAACAAGTGAGAGAGATGCCAAGTACTGGGCACCGTCAGCCAAAGAATTCCTTTGCAGGCATGAACGGCCCATACCCAAACCTTCGTCCCATCTCACCTCCGCGAATGAAGACATTATCCGCACAGCAGTACTTTTCAACCATACCTTTCAAGCATATTCACCATCCTTTCATCAACGCTGATCCATGAAATCCTCGTTGGAAGGCTGCACATGAAGCTCCCACAGCATGGTGCCGTAACATCAGTCGGTACAAATGGCAGTGACATTCCCGAGAAGGGATATCTGGTTCAAAGGCATAAGCAAAAACATTTTCTGAACGACTATCGTATCGATGGGCCTTGGCAGCGGAGCACCCAACGAGGTGAAATGACCGGAGTCGTCGCTGCTGGGTATGAGGACTTGTGGTAGGGGAAGGGGTGTGGCAGATGTCAAATGCAAATGAAAGACACCACAATATGAATCTAATAAATTTGTTACGATGACAAGATGATACTGTACCAGACATTAACGAGTACACTGACAACTCTTCACCGCAGGAACGTCAGGAAAGTAAGCCAGTCAACCCAAATCATCAATTGTGTTTCGACGACGACCCAAACCTAGCATAACCGGCGGCAACACCGCCGTAGTCCGGGTAAGACTGAGCACCGAAGCATCGGTACATACGATGAAGAGATTGGATGGCGTCTGGCGTGCGTCATCAGTACACGGGTGCGTAGTACAACGTCTCCTCCAGACCACCGGGCCTTTTCGCATTCCCTGAACTTCGCCCACTGAGACGGTTCAATGATGACTCCACTAGACTGATCAGATCTCAAAACCGGATCACTTGCACGAAGACTCTCGTTTCTCATCAGGTGAGAGTCGACCATGTATGGGAGGGCACGTTGAATTTTGACCCTGCACGCGTACCAACCATATGGAGAAAGCAAAGCGTGGGCTTCAATGCCTCACCTTGCGAATCGACATCCTACACCCTCTGTACTATCCATTCCACAGACAAGGCATCCCTTCACTTACAGTGAAAACGACTCTACCATGACACAATCGCCTCTGCAATTAAAGATAATCCTCATTGGCGATATGTCCGTTGGCAAGACCTGTCTCTATAAGCGCTTCTTTGACAGACAATGGTCATTCGAAAAGGTTGCTGCGACTTACGGCGTTGACCTCCAAGTGAGTCCCCTCTCGCGCACGAAACACAGAGGACTCGTGTGGTATGTCCTATACCCCGTACATCTCACGTAATTTGTTGGGTGGCAACAGCCAGTGGCCACATTGGCGAGAATAAAGGAGTTGATCCTCACATTTGACATAGTTTCAAACCATGGAAGTTGATGGGCGAAAGGTGAAACTCGGCATATGGGTGAGCATTCCTCCCCGTCATTTTCAGCATGTTAGAGTGAGACGCTTCGCCTCTTCATATCATTTTGTCGTGCCCCATTATGTAACAGGACACCGCAGGAATGGAGAAGTTCCGGGTGATCACGGCGCCATTCTACAGGGGTGCGCAGGGTGTTATACTCGGTACGGTCAATGCGACATGTCCCCAGTCTTACATCCTGACGGTGACTTTGTTCGAAATGGACCAGTGTACGACATTACTGACAAAACATCGTTCGATGCGTTGGCAGGTTGGCTTGCTGAAATCGATCAACACGTTCCATCCACCACACCCAAGATGATCGTAGGGAACAAATTAGACCAGGTGTGTCTACCAGCTTTTCATATTCCGCTGCCACGTTCCTTCTTTCGCCACTAGCCCTCGTGATGTAGTTGTGTGTCACTGACACGTAGCTTTTCCGCAAACAGGAACATTCCCGGCAGGTATCTACCTCTGACGGGGAACTGTTTGCCTCCCGTAACGGCGCGCTTTTTCGTGAAGCAAGCGCCAAGACCTCGGCAGGTGTGACCGAAGTCTTTGAGGATCTCGTCAAGCAGATCCTCAACGCTGAAGACCAAACGAAATCGGTAGACATTTTTAGGTGGCCTCAGGCTGAAGTAGTCAAGCTGTATGCACAGGACCCAGCTAGCTGGTGGAATAGCTGCAAATGCTAGGAAGTATGTAGTTTTAATGGCAGACGGTTATAGGGTCTTGTCAAGCAAGAATCCATAATGGGCTTAGAATCGAATACCTATCAGTGTGTCTAGTTTCACAGACTGCGAACTCGTTCATGGCATTCTGTGATGCGACGCTCAGCTTCCTTACTTGCAGTTGGCCACGGTAAGTAGCTCGGATGGCCCCCCCCCATATTGCTGTGGTGCTCGTGAACTATTGAACTAGGATAGTAAAGTCGGCTGAGCAGACCATGCAGCAACTAGTTGGGCTTCTTCCGTGATAAGTAGTTAGCATGGACGATCTGGAAGGCAGCAATGACCATGACGCTGGAATATAGAGCTGCACGATGTTTTTCTGGGAACGGTTCTTCCATTAAAGCATACAGTCACTGTTGCAATACAAATGTAGGTGAGTCGGAAATAGACAGCGCATTCGGAAAACCCGCCCGAGTTGACAGAAAGGGACCAATACACAAGGCGTGGTTCAGTTGTGTGGTGGGAGGGGGACAAGGTGCGTCATGTCGCCATGGTGCTCGCGAACCTACCACTCGGTATGCATGGCTGCATCCGCCGCCTTGCCTAATCACAAGCGAGAGGAATGCCAAGCACTGGGGACCGTCAACCCAAGAATTCCTTTGGAGGCATGAGCGCGCTCCGTGGCACATACCTGAACCGACGTATCGTCTCATCTCCGCGTATAGAGAAATCATATCCGCATAGCAGTTTCAACCGTATCCATCATCCATCCATCAATGTTTATCCGTAAAATCCTCAGTTTACGGTGTTAGAAGGACGCACATGAAGCGGATCAATCGCACGCCCTCGCAGCGCGGTGCCATGGTACCAGCCGGTACATTGAAATGATACATTGAAATCTCCATCATAGCTGTTTCGAGAGGGATACCTGGTTCAAAAATATAAGTAAAGACATGTTCTCAACGATTGTCGCATCAATTGGCAGTCGGGAGCCGAGCACGGGTACAGAGCGGTGGGATGTAAGTATTAACTGACAACCGAGTCCGCAGCAGCAAACTTCGATGCGCAGTACCTCCACGGCCCCACTTGAAGATGTACGTACTTGGACCCATGCGGACGAAGCATTCATGTACCATCGCTTCGACGCAATCGGTTGAACTTGGGCAACATCTCGCGGAGGTACTCTGCATGTTTCGTGCGCAGATCCGCTTCTTGAACTTGCCCTCTTCCACTCCATATCCGGCGGTCGGCAGCTGGGCCGTATATACAGGTATATTCCCCAAGCGTTTCGTCTTCGGCTGGTACGACCAGACATTGGGCTCCAACTATGCAGTGATTGGTCATCCGAACTGTGTTATGTACCCGCGCCCGGGTCGAAATCGTGTTGAAGTCGCCAATAGACGGGCACTCCACACCTATGTAGTAGTAGCAAACAAACGCAGACTCGGTGACAGGGACAGAGATAGAACGTACGACAGCCTATCTCAAAGAGGTTGTTATCGCCTATCCGCATAATATCCTTGCGGCGGTTGACGATAATGACCGCTTCCTCGATGATGCAACCAGCGCCGATAACGATGGGCCCGACGAGTGCGAAGATGGCTGCCTTCGGGTGAACGACCGTGCCGGGGCCGATAGTAATATCGCCTTTGAGGTCCACGTCTTGGCAGACCACTGCTTTGGAGTGGATGGCGAATTTATCCCGTCTACGTAGACCACGGTCACTCGATACCTGCAAGCTGGCCTGGGGGATCTGCAGGGACTTACATTGGAGGCATCGAGTCTTGCCAAGAACCTAGAGGCTCAAATCATTGAGTGTGGGCGAGACACGTTGCACTCGTTTTGGAATTCCGAATTGCCACGAACCCCGTGTGTCGATCCGAGATGATTACTGTGGTGATAGCTCTCGCCTTCGTCTTTGATTGAAAATCACGTCCGTCTCATCTTATTGGGTACTATCGTAGCGCTACGCACCTGACGGATTGCATACGCTACTAGTAGGCGCTTTGCCGGCTGCGGATCGTACTGCTGAACTTATGTTACTTAAAAATAAGGTTATCGTAACCTCAACACCGTACCATCAGTGCGGCTAGGCTCTAGCTGCCTTTTTTGTGTCCAGCAATGACACCTTGCCCACGGCCAACTTTCTGGGCGTGGAGAGTCATCTGCGTGCCGAAATGTTATTGGCCGACGAGCTCCCGATTTGCGGGTTACTAGCGTCGAAGTTCCACTAATAAATATGAATATGAACACAGGAGTACAGCAACCCAGCAACCCATCGCTTCCAAGCGAATCTCTCAACCCTTGTCTTCCCCCCCCCAACCCTTCCCTTCCTTTCACCTAACTTCTGTATTCCGCAGATAAGACGATGTCGACCAGTACGTCCTCTCGCAATCTGCTGTCCTAGGTACTAATGGTCTTTGGTGCGTAGCTACAGGCGAGCCAACAAGCCAGGTCACTGCCGCCGAGTCCGTCGGACCGTATAATTATGTCCCAACTGAATGGATTTGTATCACGGTTGGTTCCTCTTGATCTGACATCTTTGAATGTGATGGTCAACCCAACCCATCTCTTGCACAGTTCGTCACGCTCTTTGCTATCAACACTGGTAAGACTGCGCAAGTCAGTGGATTAGTCGCCACCCTTCTCATCCTACATCCCTACCTAGTCCTTCATCTCTTCCAAAGCCGGAAGTTCCGCATGTGGTGGTTAATTCCTACCGTCGTCCTAGCTGACGTACTGGAAATTCTTGGATGGTCAGCTCGGCTCTGGTCGAGTATCAGTCCGACTCTGCTTACCCCTTTCGAAATCCAGTAAGTAACCGATCTCGCTAGTCCATTCCTTTAATAGACACCTCGAAGATTGGTCGGAACCATTCTCGCGCCTACACCATTCCTCGCGGCAAATTTCCTTGTTCTAGGAAAAATTATTATTCAATTAGGACCTCAGTACAGCCGGTTATCTCCAAAACTCTGTGAGTACGCCATTTCTCTCACCTCTTTCGCTTAACTAAGGTAATCAGATGCTCTTATTTTTTGTATACTCGTGTGTAGCACTCTCTAGTCCATAAGACCGTTTTTCACCCTTTAGAACAGGATGTGATATGTCTTATCATCCAAGCCGTCGGCGGCGCATATGCAGCAAATGAAGTTAACCAGGGCCAGAACCCCGACAACGTTAGTCTATTCTCTCGGTCATTTTTTCAAACCTCACGTTTTTCGTGCTCAAGGGAGGCAACATCATGCTGGTCGGTGTGACTATTCAATCATGTAGGCAAAATCTGCGCCTCATTCCCTGGATACTGATACTGATTCCGTTCAAGGCGCGATGGCCCTTTACGTTCTTTGTGCCTGGAGAATTTCTCCTACGCTTCTTAAATGATACCCCTGTTCGCAAGAATTCGATGCCCGTCTCTGACGAGAAACGTTGTGCCAAAATCGTGGAATGGCACATCGTCAAATGGTTGATCCTCGGTCTCGTTATCCAGATGTTTTGTCTTATCGTCCGGTCTGTTTTTTTTTTCTTCTCCTTCCTCTACGTAATCGTCTCCTGTGCTGACATCATCCATAGCTCTGCCTATCGTACAGTTGAATTGTCGAATGGCTGGTCCGGCCCAATCATCTCCACTGAAGCGTACTTCAGTACGTGTGCAATCAATCCCATCTTACCCCCCAGTACTTCATCACCCTACTGATATTGGTGGCCGATCCAGATGTCTTCGATGGTCTCATGATGGTCATTGCCGTGTATACGATGAACCTTATCCACCCCGGCCCCTTCCTTGGAACTCTTCCAGAGAAGCCAGGGGTAACTGGTGGTGTTGACTGGCCTCAACACAGTTTGGTTTCCACACGTTGCGCGGCGGAGAGTAGGCGTATATACTAAGGCCACCCATCTCATGCGGACCTTCCATTGTTTCTTTTTTTCCTCACAGTTTCCAGTTTCCGTTTTAGTTTTGACTGTGTGTGCTTAGAGTGTATTGTACACTCAAGTTGGATGTAGCAGCTTTGTAATTATGACGTGCAGTATATTACGGCCCTTCCACGTTCGATACTTGCTTGACACTGGCAGCATCTAACCCTATTATGTAGCCGCGCGCTGGAGATGGTATGTACCTGCCAGTGTGCCTTTTGGTTTGAAATACACAGCAGTTGCCAGTTTCGCCCACTCCGGCACGGGTCGCTCTAATAACTGTTTAGCTGACTGATGTGTTACACATCGGTCTTCTGGTTGAGAAAACAAAGTAACTTTCCGGTGCAAGTGACCTCTCCTTTCTCAACGAGATGTTTGCATTTTCCTAAGTCCAATGAGTACTAGTCATACACGCATGTACACGTTTACTGAACGAAACTTACGAAGTTCAGTACCGCATTACCACGTAGGGCAAGCTTCCTATACCATTTGCATATGTGAGCCCATCGACTTACTGTCCTCCCGCTCTGTTGCGGGGCTCCCGGCTTGCAGAACAAACATGTTACGCATAAGGACACCTTGAGGATTTTCACTACAAGCCCGATATTGAATTCCATATCCTTTGCACCTTCAACATTTGACACTCACCAGGTTTTGGCTTCGGCCCGGTCCGCAGCCTCGTTGCGCGCAACCTTGTATCGTCGCTGCTTCGTGCGTTCAGACAAGCCGCTGTATCCCAATTCACGTTTCTCCCCTGCATTTCTCTAATCAACAGACAACTTTTGAGCGAACACAACACTCCAGTTCGAAGTCATCGTTTCCCCGCAAGGAACCCGAGAGCCCTTGCTGGCAGGTTTTTCGCCGTCAAGTGTCAAATCGAGACACTCGCGAAGTTGTACTGATCGGTTTCTCTACTCTACAATTGCCCGGATATTCCGGTGGGTCCGACTTGGACGCACTTTTCAGATGAATAGCTACTATTTCATTTGACTCTTCCTCCAGTGGATCAGCTTCGGAAGCATGAGCGTTGGGGCTTCCGTTGTCGGTGAGCGGCAGTGAAACTTTGGTTTTCCATGGCGCTGCCCGTGCGCGGGCGACCGCAAGCTCTCGCGCTTTTGAAGTTCTGGGCATGGGTCAAGCAGTTTAACCTCTCCTCATCCATTAGGTTACCTGTCAAAATATGTGGACGAGGCCTAACTTTGCGAGATTTGATGCTTACCTAACGGACCCTAGGTTCGGGTTAGGGCCGTCGGTGAGGTAGACATGCCGCCACCCGAGCCAGTGACTGAGTCACCCCTCCGATACTTTGGATAAGACAGTAGCCTTGTGATCGTCCGCAGACAACACCGTATCTCTCCGAGCATTCGACAGTATCCGCGGTGAAGTTTCCTATAGCATTGCACTGTGTGCAATTATGAAAGCCAAGGCCTTTGAAGGCACCAAGATATCTGTCTACTTCACCTTCTGCAAGAGGGACGACAATCACTTCCTGCACCATGTTGGAGCGGTCGGACTCGACTTCGGTGGGATGAACTGAACTCGTAGTGTATCCTATGTGTCCGTCTGACTAAGCACGCTGTGGCTGTATCCTCGCCTCCTGTCCCTGGGCCTCCCTACTCCAACGTCGTTAACATCATCCATGCCAGTCTCCCGACCCGTCTTCTCCTCACCCTCGTTACAACGGAAGCCCCATCCCCATCGTCGTTCACCATTGATAACACTCTCGTCATCACCGGAAGCGACGCAGATGACGTCCAGAGTGCTGTGCTTCTCGCTAGCTCCAAATTTCTTGGTTGAGTCGTGTCTTTGACAAATGATGGCAACCTCATGTCTGCTGCTATCGAAGACATCGGGGCGTCGTCATGCGACAATACTTCACTATGGGATGTGCTTCATAAATCCGTTCGTGCACCTCTCGACCGACTCGTTCCACCACCAGGGTCTCGGAGCGCCCTTCAGCTCATCGACGCAGCTCGAGAAAAACTCCGGCGCGTCCTATCCTACATATTCCATACCCGCCTTTCTTGTCAACATTTTCTCCGCTGCCGAGCGTGCTCGCTCCGTGGGAATACATGGATCCCTTACCATCAAATGAATATGCTGGAACGCCGATTCGACCCACAATGTGAAGACAAGTTAGCCATTGCTGATAGGTACGACCGCGCATCGTTGTGTACTGCGAAGACGGATGGGCGTCGTCACTCGCAGCAGCATCACTACACGAGATTGGTATGTGGAATGCAACGGATGTCATAGGGGGTTTCCAGACTTGGAAAGTTGCCGGACTGCTAGGTCAAGTCAAAGCTCCTTGTCCGAGAGTAAAACAGCAACTTTGGAGGGACTTTCCCAAATATTTTGGGGAACGAAGTAAGGGTTGTGTGGCGCTGGTGGTCGCTGGAAATCTGTCACGACACCAGCGCGATTCGCTCACGCGTCTGATCATATACATACACTGACTACGTCTTACGTGATAGTCATCGATGGAGAGTCTGGGTCTATCGTCCAACACTATCGTACGGCTGCTGGCATTACATGGGGTGGTATGTACATGTGTTTGCGTCGTTATCCGAAATCAGGCTATACTCATACATTTATTACATTATACAGTCTTCGTAACGGAGGTAGTATATACCTTGCCTAGCTGATGCTTTCTTAGATCTCCCACTTGATATGGCTGATATCCGCAGGCATTCGCTTACTATTGTGCGGTTGGTGTCCACCTCTTTATATACCACGAAGGCGATCAATATGAGACGAATCTGTTGAAGAAAAAGGGGCTCACCTGCAAGACCAGCAAAGCTAAACATGGAGCCATTAGGTGTTATCTGTGGACGAGGAGGGCCGACGGACTCCCGTCGCTCTACAGCATCCGGCCCTATATTTATCTGCGGGTAGTTGACCCTCCGTGGTGAGAATCTAGAACAACATGCCAACGACTTCCGACGACAGCTCGCTCATATGTCAAGCCTTGGTCTTTGTTGTTGAGCTTCCGGAGTCTGCCAGCTCAAGCATGATGTCGGTCATGGGCCACCGTATTCTTTGCCACGGATACTGGTTGAGTCACATCGATCAACGTGAACTCCCTTCTGTAAAATGCCACGTTCTCCTCGTTGACCAGGGCTTCTCTGATGAGCCATGCAACTGGGTAGTCGCTTCCGACAATGGGAGTATATTTGGATAATGACTTGGCAGAGGTATTTTCCACTTTCGAGATTGTGAATGGAATGACCAACACCTAGAGGCTAATATCCTACTTTCTCCGTGCATAAACAACATGACATGACCGGAAAGTAAACACAGAGAGATTTTAGAAAATGAGAGCAGAAAAAAAACTGGATAGCAAGTTGAGACACTAATCCATTAGTGAACGGTCGGTATTATTCATCTCCATAGCCGACCCGCGCTGACGGGTGACAAACGTATATGTGCCATAGTGTACTGGCAGTTTGGATTACGAAACGTGCAGGAGGGGTGCAAAGTTGTAGGGGAGACTTGTATGGACCAGCAAACACGGCTCTCCTAAGGTGGATCCTTCCTTGCCATACGCGAGGGCGGGGTGTGTGGCTGGGAGACTCGAGGAAACACGACGCAGTTATTTGAGACCGTACTTCCATCCGCCCTGGTAGAAGGAAATAAGGATGGTCGTTGGTACAGTCACCGTTGCGATCCGTATGCAGGTGAAAGTGGGTCGGAAATGGAAAGCCCATTCGGAAAACCGCCCGAGGAGACAGAACGGAACCAACACACAAAAACTTTCGAATGATTCAGCTGTGTGTCGGAGGGGAACAGTACCTATTGGCACAAGGTGCTTCATGTTGCCGTGGTGTCCGCGAACCTACCATTCAAATATGTACGGCTGCATGGGCTGCCTAACCTAATAGCAAGTGAGAGGACGCCAAGCACTGGGCAGGGTCAACACAAGAATTGCTTTCCAGGCATGAGCGCGCTCCGGGACACATACCAAAACCTTCATCCCATCTCATCTCCGCTCATAGAGACATCATCCATAATATAATCAGTTACAGATTCGTCGTCATGTTTCAGCCATACCTCTCAAGCCCATTCGTCATCCATTAATCGAAGTTGGTCCATGAAATCTTCTGTTTATGCTGGAGGGCTGCACACGCGGAGCAATCACTCGCCCTCACTGTGCGGTGGCATGGTATCAGCCGGTCCCGTCATGACCATTCTGAAAGGAGATACCTGGATCCAAAATATACGTAAGCACTTAATTACTATAGTCAAGACATTTTCTGAACGACTGTCGTATTGATGAGCTTCCTGAACCGAGCACGGGTATAGAGCGGTGGAGCGTATTAACTGTCAGACAATGTTCAAATTTTGATGCGCAGTACCTCCATCGGAGAAGGTACGTACTCGGACCCATGCTAAACAAAAAGCAGAGATGCTCGAGAAGTCAAGCACTATCACTTCGACGCAATTGGTTGAACTTAGACAACACCTCACGGCATGTTTCATATGTAAACCTTGGACTTGCCGTCTTCCTATGTGGCAAGAAGAGGCAGACTCGATAACAGGGACAGGGATAGAACGTACGACAGCCTAACTCAAAAGAGGTTGTCGCCTATCCACGCGATATCCTTGCGACAGTTGACAATAATGACCGCTTCGACTTCGATGATGCAGCCGGCGCCAACGACGATGGCCTCGACAAGAGCAAAAGAGGGTTGCCTTCGGGTGAACGACTATGCCGTGGCCAATGGTAATGCTACTTTTGAGGTCCACGTGAACTGATAGACCACTGCCTTGGTGTGGATAACGAATTTATCCCGTCTACGTCAACCACGGTCACTCGATACCTACAGGTTGGCCTGGGGGATCTGTGGGGAGCAATTCGAGGCCTGCCGATAACTTGGAGAGCTAAATCATTGAACCGTTGTTTTGAAATTCCGAATTGCCACGGACTTATGTCGATCCAAAATAATCGCATGCATACTCTAATGATGCTCTCACCTTCGATTGAAAATCACGTCCATCCTATCTTGTGCGTGCCGCCATCAGTGCATCAGGCCTCGGGCCTCAGGTGACATCTAGGGTGGTACTTATGTAAGTATCTGGCAAAGTTGCATACGCTAGACGCTTTGTCGGCTGCAGAGCGTACTACTGAACGTATGGATTACTAAACAAGGCTATGATCGTAACTCCAGTACTCCACAGAACACAGTGGTCTTCATGCGGCTGCCTTTTTTGAGCCTAGCAATGTCTCCGTGTTTGCACCGATCATGCCGAAACATTATTGGCCGAGGAGCTCCCGAACTACGTGTTCTTATCGTCGCCCGCCAATAAATATCAACACAGAAGTACAACAACCCAGCAACCCATTGCTTCCAAGCGGATCTCCCTGACCCTCCTCTTCCCTACCAACCCATCCTTTCCTTTCACCCGACCAACTACCTTCTTTACTCCGCAGATCAAACGATGTCAACCAGTACGACCTTCCATAATGTGCTGTCCTGGGTATTAATGGTCATTTGTGTGTAGCTACAAGCAACCCAGCCAGCCAGGTTCCTGCTGCAGCCGAGTTAATTGGCCCGTATAATTATGTTCCAACTGAATGGATTTGTATCACGGTTGGTCCCCCCTGATCGGACACCTTTGAATATGATGCCCATCCCACTCCATCTCTCGCACAGTTCGTCACGCTCTTTGCTATCAACACTGGTAAGACCGCGCAAGTTAGTGGGTTATCTACACCCTATTCATCCATTCACCCAGTCCTTCATCTTTTCCAAAGCTGGAAGTTCCGTATGTGGTGGTTAATCCCTACCGTTGTCGTGGCTGGCATTCTGGAAATTATTGGATGGTCAACTCGACTCTGGTCAAGTATCAGTCCGACTCTGCTTACCCCTTTCGAAATCCAGTAAGTAACCGATCTCGCTACTCTATTCCTTTAATAGACGCCTGGAAGATTGGTCGGAACCATTCTCGCGCCTACACCATTCCTCGCGGCAAATTTCGTTATTCTAGGAAAAATTATCATTCAGTTAGGACCTCAGTACAGCCGGTTATCTCCAAAGTTCTGTGAGTACGCCATTTTTCTCACCTTTCTCACTTACCCAAGGTAAACAGATACTCTTGTTTTTTGTGCGTTCGTATGTAGCGTTCTCTAGTCTACAAGGCTGTTTTTGACCTTCCTTTAACACAGGATGTAGTGTGTCTGATCATCCAAGCTGTCGGTGGTGCATATGCAACAAACGAATTTAACCAGCATCAGAACCCTGATAAGGTTTGCTTATTCCGTCGGTCACTTTTTCCAACCTGACGTTTTCTGTGTTCAAGGGGGGCAACATCACACTGGTCGGTGTGACTATTCAATCGTGCAAGTAAAAACTACGCCTCGTCCCCTGGATACTGATACTCATTCGCTTCAAGGCGCCATGGTTCTTTATATTCTTTGCGCTGGAGAATTTCTCCTACGTTTCTTAAATGATATGCCTATTCGCAAGACTTCGACACCCGTCTCTGAAGAGAAACGTCGTGCCAAAATTATGGAATGGCATATAATCAAATGGTTGATCCTCGGTTTGGCTATTCAGACGTTTTGCCTCATCGTCCGGTCAGCAGAGTTTTTTTTTTCTTCCGCGTAATTGTCACCCGTATTGACATCATCGATAGCGCTGCCTATCGCACTGTTGAATTATGGAGTGGCTGGTCAAGTCCAGTCACCTCCACTCAAGCCTACTTCAGTGCGTGTGCAATCAATCTTTTTTAACCCCTAATCCTGTCATCTTACTGATACTGGTGACCGATCCAGATGTCTTCGATGGTCTCATGATGATCATTTCCGTGTATACGATGAACCTTATCCACCCCGGCTTCTTCCTTACAGAAGTCACTGGGGTTGTTGACTGGCCTCAAAACTCTTTTGCTTCCTTGAGTCGTACGACGGACTGCAATGCGCGTACTTACTAAGGCCACCCACCTATGTGGACCTCAATTATTCCTTTATTTCCTAACACAGTTTCCGGCTTCTTTTTTAGTTCTGTCTAGTTATACTTACGAAGGAAATAAAGAATGTACACCAAAGTTGTTAGACGTGCACACGCAGCAGCTTTGTAGTTATGGTGTCCAATAACAACCGTTTCACGATGGACACAAATTGCATCTAACGCCAATAACAACCCGCTGCAGACTGCATGTATGTACTGATAATGTACTTTTGGTTTGAAGTATAATAGCATATGCGTAGGCTGTAGCGGTCGCCAGTTTCGCCCACCCCGGCAAGTCGCCCTCGTCTTTTAGTTGAGAAAATAAAGGGACCCAACAAATTTCCGGCGTAAGTGACTCCTTGTGTCCCGGCGAGACGTTCTTCCCTGCCTTCCTTAGTATCTACCAACACGTGGTGTTTTCTCAAGTCTAATGAGTGTGAGTTGCACATTCCACCCACATTACCACGTATGGCAAAAGTAGATAGTTACATTTTAAGTGAAGGGAATATAGTAGATCCAAGATTTGGAGAAGCACATACGGCATCCTTCTTATGCCATTTGGATATGTGAGCCCTTCGATTTGCAGTCTTCCCGCTACATTCTCGCAGGACTTCCCAGCTTGCAGAACAAAAACATGTTACGCATAAGGACGACCTGAGGGTTCTGACTGCAAGTTCGATATGAGATTCCATGTCTTTTGGTACCTTCAGCATCTGGTTTTCGCTTCATCCCGGAATGCAGCCTCGTCGCACGCAACCTTGTGCCGTCGCTGCTGCGAGTGTTCAGACAAGCTGTTATACAGCTACTCACGTTTCCTCTTTGCATTTCTCCGATCTACAGACGACTTCACTCCAATTGAAAGCCCTCGTTTCCCCGCGAGGATTCCGAGGGCTGAGAGCCCTCGAGGCTCGCCGGCAGTGGCCTTGTTTTCAACTGGGAATTCGTTCGGTCGTTTTTCGATAACCGCGAATTTGCCTCAAATAGCTCCCGATTCAACATCAGCCAGGGAAATCCGCCACATATTACTGAATTAGAATGCGTTTGGAAAAAACGAACTCTGGAGGTTGTCCTAGATCTCATGGTTACATGGCTGCGCGTCCTGATGGCCCGCTGTTGTTAGTGCAGTCGGGTATCTATGGCGCAGCCGTAAACAAGGTGTTGCCTCTGGCACGACGGCGCTACTTTCCCTAGCCTCTTAGCCCTCGAGCGTTGAATTAGAGCGTTCGCAGTTTTTCACCGATCGATTTCTTTATTTTCTCTGCACCTACACGTTCGCCTGGGTATTCCGACGAGTCCAGCTCAGACTTACTTGGGTCCAACTTGCAAACAGCCACCATCCGACTTAATATTCTTTCTGTGGCTCGGCTCATTCGGTAGCATAAACCTTGGGGCCGATGTCGTCTGCAAATACCACGCGCAGCCGCCAGCTTGTGCGCTTTTGAAACTTCAGGTATGGGTCAAGCAATTCAACCTCTCTTCATACATTACGGTAAATATCTGTTGAATCCGTCTAAACAGAACAGCGACCTCATGGCTGTCTACCTGTATCTCGGACAGAGGGGTTCCGTCGGTATACTTAGACAGCCCGCAAGCGACGGTCTACCTGTAACTTGCGTACTCACCCCTATGTCCGAATCCGGTGTACAATTTCGTTTCCGCAGTGACTGGAGCGGCCGCCACAGTCCTGATGTCAGTTATGAGAAACAGGCACGGCCACCGCAATCGGTGCTGCCAGGTCGAAAGGTAAACTCCCTCAAACTGCATTACAAGGTATCGCAAGGAGTTGCACCCTCGGGATTGTTGACCAACTCGACCTGATCATAGGGAGCTCAACATTAATGCACCCCGCAGATGTGACGTCCTTGAGTCACAACAATTGTCAAAGACAGCTACATACTAAGCTGAAAGAACTTCTTCCACAGCCCCCTTCGTAGTAGGTTAGGATCACGACTCGCGATGCTCACGGGTCATTCTACTTGTGGAACCAATTGCGTTCATATCGGCATTCATTCTAGTGACCAACGTGCACCGAAGAGCTGTATGTACGACCGGATATCTTTGTCCGCAGCGCTGAGCTGCGGAACCGCGAAGCAGTAGGGGGAAATGGTTCGCTTGCCATAGCCTCGCTCTTATATGACTTTGAGTTTTCATCGCAATGCACTGCACCCCTGCAGGGACATTACCAGCCAAACTGCTCAGAGGCCATGTCTGTTACCCTCTTCGCAGTTTGCTTCTCTGGGTTCCCAGCGCTCAGGCCCTGCCTGCATATTTAAAGGATGGTCCGGGGTGATAATACTTTCAAAGACGTACCCTCTTATCCGCTCTTCCTTCGTCCTCGTTGTAATACCCAAACATCACGCAATGTCGGCTGGTGCGTCATTGCTGAATGTTTTGTCTTGGGTACTGATGGTATACCGTAGGGTATCCAATTGGCCTGGTTTCTGACACGGTCGACACAAACATAGGGCCGTATAACTATGTCCCGACTCAATGGATATGTATCATGGTTGGATCCTTTTTTCATCCGAGTCCTAGGATAATTCGTCTCATCCGTCTGTATTGCTCAGTTTCTTGCGCTGTTCGGGGTTAGCATCGGTGAGATAAACAGTAAAACGGTCTGCTGAATTGCGGTATTCATTTCCCTTGTCAGCGCTTCACTTATTTGAGAGCCTCGTGTTCCGCATGTGGTGGTTAACCCCTACCGTCATCCTAGCCGGTCTCTTGGAAGTCCTTGGTTGGTCTGCTCGGCTGTGGTCCAGTATCAACCCGTCATTGCTTACTCCTTACGAAATCCAGTGAGTATCATGTTGATTTTTCCTTCATAGTGCCGTCTTATACCTGGAAGGTTGGTGGGAACTATTGTGGCACCAACGCCATTCATTGCAGCAAATTTCCTTGTTCTTGGGAGGATCATCATTTGGTTTGGACCTCAGTACAGCCGCCTGCCGCCTAAGCTCTGTGTGTTTGTTACTGGTCATTACTTCCCTATCCGTCTGACCTATATAATCAGATACCATCCTATTTTGCTCCTTCGTAAGTACATTAAGCCCTTCGTTATCACACGAGATTAGTCACCGATACGTTTCTGGCTTAGGATGTAATATGTCTAGTGATCCAAGCAGTCGGCGGTGCAATCGCAGCAAGCGAAGCCAGCCAAAATGTGAGCGCCACCGAGGTGTGTGCGCTTCTTCTCCTCGCTACATTTTATCATGATCTCCTTGTTTTCACAGGGAGGTAATATCATGCTTGGTGGTATAGTCATTCAAATGGGTATGCGAATTCCGATTTCATTCTTCAAGCTATGTAAAATATCAACTCCTCCACAGTTTCAATGGTTATTTATGTTATCTGTGCTGGAGAGTTCTTCCTTCGTCTCCGCCACAATACTCCTATTCGGGAGAAGAACTCAACACTCGCGGCAGAAGACAAACAAGTCACACAGTGGAATAGAGTGAGATGGCTGGTTCTTGGTCTCGTCATCCAGACCACTTGCCTATTCATTCGGTCAGATGATGTTCCTTTGGGGCTATCTCTCACCAATTAAATCGCGGTTCTACAGTTCAGTATATCGTACTATTGAATTGTCAAATGGGTGGAACGGCCCAATTATCTCCAACCAAGTCTACTTCAGTATGTGCACTGTGTGCTGTCGCTGCCGAACCTTGCCATATTGATTCTCTGTCCAGACGTCTTCGACGGTGCCATGATGACTATCGCATTTTTTGCTTTCAATGCCTTCCATCCTGGTTTTTTCTTTAAGAACGACCATCGAGTTAGCAGTAATGGCAATGCTTGATATTCTTTACAGCTGTTTGCATAAATAATGATACCGGCGGGTTGTGAGGGAGACAAACAAATATGATAAGTATCAGTACATCAGCAATTTGTTGCCCTGACTGTGACAACTGCACGGACTGTCGACAGATCCAACAGACCGACAGACATCACAGTAAAGTGACTGTGAAAAGGCATGTCATTTATGTACACAGTCCCATCACCTGTACACAGCTCATACACAGACTGGAAAGTTCACTCACAGTTGCACACAGTAAGCACACAGACAGATTAATTCAGACATAACAGTAGGACAAAGGGTATAGCAGGGCCAGACCTCTATCTACATGATCAGGTGCCTTTCTAGCTCTCTTGCCCACTGTGAATTATTTGCTTCACCTCCTCACACTGTCCAGTGTCTGGTGATTAGAGATCAGTACATCTGGGCCAGAACATTTAAAATGCTTGCCTTCAATGTCTGACTCAGCCTTGATGTCAGAGGACACTGTGATCAATGCCCAGTCATCAATCACATTGCCTTTGCCTGCTGCTGATACACTGTGAGGTACCTGGACTTGCCTAGAATGGACAGCAGCACTGCAGTATTCCTTAGCCCCACTGATGATTTAGTTGAATTTTCAGTCTCCTGCTTTCATGATTGATCATGTGTACAACAAAGTCTTTGTGCCCCATCCAATGTCAGAGAAGCTTGCCTTGGACTGCTTGATGGGCACCTCTTTGGCTCCAGTAGAAACCAATGTTAATGCCCACTTGACCTGTAATGATTGCAGCTCAGATGTTCACCTGAATAATGCCACATACTGATGTGACAGCTAAGACCAGTGCACCCCTTGGCATTTCATAGTCAATTAATTCATGATAAGTCTTGTTGTTGATCACTGAAATATCCCTGATGTGGGACATAAAGGTCCACAGAACAAGTGGTGACAGAAATGACTTGGAGACCTAAACAATTTTATAACAGACTTTGATCTGTAAACAGATACTTGAATGGGACTTACACTATACTCATTCCCTCCTAGATGTTCCTGTTGGAGTGAAATGACCCCTGTCCTTACTTGGACTTAGGCATGTGATCATGTTGCTTACATAAGCTGTTAGAGCACACACATACACTAGTAAAATTTACCTAGTCCCTCAGTAGCTTGACAGACTACTGAGGGTGAGTACACTTCTACATAGATAGAATACCCTTACTAACTTGTATAGTTCCCTACAGGTACTATACTCAATATTAGTAGCTTGACAGACTACTGAGGTTCCCTACAGATTCCTCTCTGGGTTTCCCCTCTGCAACCCCACAAACTTCTTTGGTTCCACACTACCATACATGAATGGAAGGCTTGGACTGAGCACAAAGTCAACATATGCCTTCCATTCCTCAGGATTTTCATTATTTCAGGTCTGAAGCCCACAGCACCTCAACAGCTTCAATCCCTGCTTTGCCAATGTATGTGTGCCACTCATAAGTCTTTTGCATGCACTAGCCAAGATTGTTAGTAATGCCATCAATGTCAAGTGAAAGTCCTTACCAGACAATAGACATGATCATCCTCATCACACCAGTGTGGCCAATCTAACATGACCTTATCCCATAGTTCCTGCAATTTGTCAATGAAGTGATCAGGTACCATCCAGGGATTCTCCAATGTCCTGCAATAGAGATGGAGCAAAGGAACCAAAAGCTTTGTAAATTGGGCAGCAGATCCCTTTGGCAAGTTTTGATGACTAGGTTGATTCTTTGTAGCTGTTGCATTTGTGATAGGAGTGCTGTGCTGTAAGCACTGTTGAGGAGCATTAGTGACAATCTTGGTAACAGCGAGGGGACCCTTAAAATGTGTTAGCATCTCACATAGTGTAGTCACATTTAGTCACAACACATGGGTGGCCTGTGTGCCAAAACACCAACACTTATATAGACCCCAAGACAGGCCTGCCTAAATAGATTAGCCAGTACACATGGACAGGCCTGAGGGACTAAAGTGAGAGCAACATATGTACAGGCCTGTAAGTGCATTACCACAACATATGGGAGGGCCCATGGTGGGTAAGGATGTTGAAACATTTAGACAGGCCTGTGACCAATTAAGTGTACTGAGTTGCTGTAAGACATGGATGGGCCCATCCTGGTAGGTTACACCCCTGTTGCAACATCAAGGTGGGACCACCTATCATAACATGGAGAGGGTTGCAACATAAGGACATGCCTGGGAGTAATATCATTTATGGTGTCACAACATCTGGACAGGCCCATTCATAATAAGCCATACCCCTGTCACAACATAAAGACAGGCCTGTCGACAGTAATCATCACAACATAAGGATGAGTCCATGTATGGTATTCTTAGGCAGCAGAAAGGGAGATCCAAGCTATCTACATAAGGATGGTCTGTGTAAGGCATTCTCAGGCAGCAGAAAGGGAGATCAAAGGGATCTACATAAGGATGGGCCCATCCATGGTATTCTCAGGCAGCAGATAAGGGAAAACAAAAACCAGTGTTATGACATAAGATGGGCTGATCTGTCCATCACAGGATTACATACCCTTGGCACTGCATAAGACAGGCCAATCCATCATATCATAGATAGCTCACCACAAATAGACAGGCCTATCCATAATTGGGTTACCCCCCTGTCACAATATAAGATGGGCCCAGGAAGACAAGAAATGAAGAAAGTGGAACCTCTTGCACTATAGAGTATCTGAATTTCCTACTATAAATTGTGTTTCACATTGGATGATTTGCCTATTTAGTTGGAATCTCAGGCACTGGTCTATGTAGCTGCAAGCCAGGCTCTGCCATTGGAGCAGACAGGTATGTTGTGACAGGGGTGCATCTTGCTAGATGGGCCTGTCCATTTGTTGTGATGATATACATGATACTACTGAAGGGCCTGTCCTTATGTTGTGATGCTATTAAACAGCATTAGTGATGGGCCTGTCTTTATGTTTTGACAGGGTACATCTTACTGGGGCTGGGCCTGCCCATATGATGTGACAATATAAATAATACTACTGAAGGGCCCATCCATATGTTGTGATGCTATGCATGAGATTACTGATGGGCCTGTCTTTATGTTTTGACAGGGTACATCTTACTGGGGCTGGGCCCACCCATATGTTGTGACAATATAAATAATACTATTGAAGGGCCCATCCATATGTTGTGATGCTATGCATGAGATTACTGATGGGCCTGTCTTTATGTTGTGACAATATAAATAATATCACTGAAGGGCCTGTCCATATGTTGTGACTCTATTAAATGATACTAGTGATGGGCCTGTCTCTATGTTTTGACAGGGTACATCTTACTGGGGCTGGGCCCACCCATATGTTGTGACAATATAAATAATACTACTGAAGGGCCTGTCCATATGTTGTGATGCTATACATGAGATTACTGATGGGCCTGTCTTTATGTCTCATCAGAGGTACATCTTACTGTGGACAGGCCCATCCATATGTTGCATAATACTACTGATGGGCCCAACCTTGTGTTGTGACTCTATTAAATGATACTAGTGACAAGCCCATCTTTATGTTTCAACTGTGGTACATCTTACTGTCAACAAGCCTGTCTTTATGTTGTGACAGGGGTATGGCTTATTATGAATGGGCCTGTCCAGATGTTGTGACACCATAAATGATATTACTCCCAGGCATGTCCTTATGTTGCAACCCTCTCCATGTTATGATAGGTGGTCCCACCTTGATGTTGCAACAGGGGTGTAACCTACCAGGATGGGCCCATCCATGTCTTACAGCAACTCAGTACACTTAATTGGTCACAGGCCTGTCTAAATGTTTCAACATCCTTACCCACCATGGGCCCTCCCATATGTTGTGGTAATGCACTTACAGGCCTGTACATATGTTGCTCTCACTTTAGTCCCTCAGGCCTGTCCATGTGTACTGGCTAATCTATTTAGGCAGGCCTGTCTTGGGGTCTATATAAGTGTTGGTGTTTTGGCACACAGGCCACCCATGTGTTGTGACTAAATGTGACTACACTATGTGAGATGCTAACACATTTTAAGGGTCCCCTCGCTGTTACCAAGATTGTCACTAATGCTCCTCAACAGTGCTTACAGCACAGCACTCCTATCACAAATGCAACAGCTACAAAGAATCAACCTAGTCATCAAAACTTGCCAAAGGGATCTGCTGCCCAATTTACAAAGCTTTTGGTTCCTTTGCTCCATCTCTATTGCAGGACATTGGAGAATCCCTGGATGGTACCTGATCACTTCATTGACAAATTGCAGGAACTATGGGATAAGGTCATGTTAGATTGGCCACACTGGTGTGATGAGGATGATCATGTCTATTGTCTGGTAAGGACTTTCACTTGACATTGATGGCATTACTAACAATCTTGGCTAGTGCATGCAAAAGACTTATGAGTGGCACACATACATTGGCAAAGCAGGGATTGAAGCTGTTGAGGTGCTGTGGGCTTCAGACCTGAAATAAGAAAATCCTGAGGAATGGAAGGCATATGTTGACTTTGTGCTCAGTCCAAGCCTTCCATTCATGTATGGTAGTGTGGAACCAAAGAAGTTTGTGGGGTTGCAGAGGGGAAACCCAGAGAGGAATCTGTAGGGAACCTCAGTAGTCTGTCAAGCTACTGAGGGACTAGGTAAATTTTACTAGTGTATGTGTGCGCTCTAACAGCTTATGTAAGCAACATGATCACATGCCTAAGTCCAAGTAAGGACAGGGGTTGTTTCACTCCAACACTCCCCCTGAAATGGCACAGGGTAAAACTAAAAGGTAAAACACAATCCAAAGTATCAAGAACAAAATATACCAAATGTATAATCAAATGTGCAACGAAATATGCGAATTTTCGGGTGTGCGGCTTGACTTGTGTGCGTGCAATGTTGGCGCATCATCTGATTATGTAATCGCACTGCGTACGGTCGCACATCATTGTCACAAAAAGTTTCGGCATCATTGTAATGAAGCCAAATGATAATGTGATGTCCCTGAATTATTATGTGCATTGAAAGAGTCGTTATGATGGCGTGCGAGATCTGATTATGGCATGCTAATGTAATCGGGAAGCGCTGCCAGAAACCTTGCTTGTCCAGCCGTGTGCAATGCACACATATGTGATTTCAACAAGCCCCTCAGATCCCTAAGGAACACTCACCATATTTGTATGCATTCGCTTTGCATGGCCTGAGATGCTGTCACCACTTGCAATGTTGTGGCTTTGAAGAATTGTTGGGTGAACCAGGTGGCCCCGGTCCATAAGTCGTTTTGTCACCATCTTGCATTGCTGCAAATATGCAATATGCTGACCTTTTGCAGTCAGGCGCACTGCTTCCACTCGTTGCAAGTCGATGTTGCCGCCGCCAATAGTGCTGTTCACCTCACCATTTCATTTGCCAGCCCTACCACTAGCTTCCTCAACCTCGACACTCGCCACAAAGTCCTCGCTTCTGCCCATCACCTCAACCATTCCCCAAAGGCAATCTTTATGTTTTGCATGTCCTGGGCTTCGATCAGCGTGTTTCGCGGCACATGCACGTCATTTCTGTCAATGTTAACATGTTTCTGTCCTTTGGGATACTTGGCCATTTCAATTTCGAGCTCTAAAGGTGAGTTTTGGCTCCTTGGCTTGTTCTGACTTTTCTGCTCATGTTTTTAGCAGTTTTCAGGTTGTTCCCATTGCTCTGCATGTCCATCCGTGCAGTTGACACATCCGCATGTTTCCCCAAGCCATCCACTTCGCCAGCTCTTTGTGCCAATGAGTGAGTTGGGCAGTTTCGGCCCATTCTGACATCTTTGGGTTCTTGCAGCCATTTTTGCATCGATTTGAGCGCACTGTGCCTGCATGCATGTGCCTGATGCATCCGCATGGTTCCTGGGCCTGTGTGGCACCTCTAGGTGTGGTTCTGGGGCTGATGCATTCTGATTTATTTTCAGGCCTTTGTGGGTCACTCGCAATGCTCTGCGTGCGCGTGCACGTGTTCCATGCATCTGTTCGGTTTTCGAGCCTTTCTGGCTCCCCTATGCATGATACTGCACCTCTGGCAGGTACGTCGGGGGTTGCTAATGAGTTTGCAGCTGTTCACGAGTCATTCGCAATGCTCTGTGCATGTGTGCACACATCCGACATGCCCGTTTGACTTCCCAGCCTTTCTGGCTTGCCCATGCGCAGTTTTGCGCCTCTGGCAGGTAACCCCAGGGCTTCTGACACTTTGCAGATTTGCATCACTGTGCGGGTATATGCGTGCAGTTAGTAACCTGGCCCCTCCACCATCTCCCTGCTCTATGACACTGTCGAGTGCACTCACGGATGCCCACTTGCTGGCTGCCCTCTACCATGACAGTTGCGGCATTGGGAGTCGCAACCATAGATTCATTTCTGCCTGCCAAGGTGCTAACCATATCCTTTTGTTACCTGTTGCGAAGGGGTAAGCTACTTGGTTACAATACTCATTGGATTCCGCAAGGTCATCTGGAATAACAATGTCGTATGCTCACTGTGCTTGTCCTCCAACAACTGACACAGAATTTGTTTGGAATTAACCATTTAATATGCAGGGAATTGCTCGTACGGTGTGACGAGCTTCATCGAGAAGGACGCTGATTTGTTAGATGCTGCTTTCGTCTCACTTTTGTGTCATTCCTCGGACTAATTCATTTTCAAGCTTGTTTCGGGACCATTGATTGCCACTGAGAAACACTCAAAGGACGACTCATTTACTGGTACAAGTGCAAGTATGCTTGCGACCACTTCGTGATCCCACTCCCATCCTTTCTCCCTAATGACTCGCTTCCCTCTGGCGACAATTACCACCCACACCACATGTCAAGGCGTAGGTCTGGTCTTTACTCATACCTGACATCGTTGCATGCAGGAGCATTGAGTATGTTGCCTACTGTTCCCAAAGCGACTTCTGTGAATGAATATGTACCTGCTAGTGTGGATCAGGACTGCAGAATGCATTCGACAATGTGCCACATCGAATGGGTGGCAAGAAAGCGTCAAATAAATGATCAGACACCTGGTCTATTTAGCTTTCATATGCCACGTCAAAATCAGGTCGAGGATGAGTTGAGGTGGTCGCAAGGGAGCAATGCAGACTGGCACCTGATGGCATCGACATGATGACAACGAGAGCATGGCCGGTGACTGCCAGGACAGATTACACCCGTCAAGATGCAGGACCTGATACTGAGAGCAGGGATAATCTACTTATTGCATGCATGGATTGCGCTCACCCAGAACCCCTGCATCACCACCCACCCCCACCCCCTCCCCTCCCTGCTGGTATCAAGGACCTCTTGGCTAAGATTGTTGTTGCCGGGCTACCCCAAGCTTTCTGCAAGCAAAAGCAAGATGTTTGCATTCGCATCACCCGCCATTTGGTGATTTATGTACACATGCTCCTTGTAAAATTTAGAGTCCTCGATGAAGGAACATTATACGGTGAGCCTGATCAATTCGCATGACACATTTCATACTTTATGTGAATAATTTACTGACTATCATGCGTCCGAAATTGCATACTAGCTGCAAGTACTGCTTGTAAAGTTGTTTAACTTCAACTCCTATTTTCTCGTGCATTGGACATTTCCTGCACTCACTTTCATTGCTCACTCTCATCACTCATTCTCATACAGAAAGCCACTCTACTCTACAAGTATCTGTGAGTCACTCAGGATGTTTTTTTATTTGCATAACTAATGTAATTCTTAGTAAATGGCCAGGAAACACGTGCAGAGGAAGAGGAAGAGTAGGAGATTGCGTAGGGCGGCAAATATCAGCTCCACCAGAGTTGGAGGGTCGAGTGGGCTGGACGGTATGTCATTTTCATCCCTTAATGTGCACTGTGGAGATGAACACATAACAGGTGACAAGGAAGGACCTTCTGCAGTCACTGGTCGACTGCAATGGTGTTGGTACCGGCCATGCGGTAATTGGAGGATCACCCAGGACAAACAGGTGCGTACAGTATTTACATTTATCTGCATGTACTAATGTCACTTTCTATATTACTAGTCCGCTATGTACAAGTTGGCGACAATGTGGAGTCGCAAGTGTTGGAAACGGAGGAATCTTTTATGCCCCTGTTCACCTGTTTTTATTCTCAAGACTTTCTTCTCAGCTCGGTTTATCCGTTGTTTTCTGGTGTTTCCAAGTTTGCATGTCGTACCTGTGGCATTTTCGAAATGCGTTGCTTTGACTTTTTAAACTTCCTTTGAAATTTTGACTATTGTAACTATTATGATTTTAGCCACCATTTCAGCTTTGAAAACTGTCCAATTATTGTGCTCGTTCCACAGACTCCTAGTGTATTACTGATTAGTAGCTCGATTCTAATACTGTAATCAGTGCATGCATATGTCATTGGTATTATTAGTAATCAACGATAATCGATTAAAGACCGTCTATTATTATGCTAACATTGTTTCTCAAGAACCTGAATCATGGGACCCTCGTGCAATCCTTGAGGCAAGTACAACTACTCCGAGGAAACGCTTTCTACCCTCCATATATGCCGGTTTTGCGGCAAACAGTTCAAGGTACAGGGTATCAAAAGGCACGAAATCAGCTGCAAAAAACAACAAGAATTACAGAAAGAACAAGCCGAACGTGGGAAGGAGTTCGAAAGAGAAAGATGCAAGGGTGAGTTCATAGCTTTTAAATTCCTTCTAACGCTTGAATTGATCTATTGCATGTCTGCAGCTCGAAAAAAGGCTCGACTACTAGATGATCGTGCTTCAATCAGTGCATCTGTTGCACCACATGCAGCATCTATCTCAATCGGACGCTGGTTCTTCCCATGCTGTTTGTGAACATGTAGATAGTGATATCTATGGGGATGATGGCAATGGCTGTGAGTTTCCATTCATATTAGCTTGATATTCTTCACTTATCACAAAATAGTTGATCCTTTGGTTGATAGCAATCAATTGAACCACGATGACTACAGCAGGAATAGTAATGATCCTAGTAAGTACCTCTTCAGCATATAGTGTTATCGGATTGATCATTTAACTGTGATATTTTTCTAGCAACCATGGATGCATCCGTGGAAAGCACTTCCAATATATCTACTGAATTGCCATCACGATCATGCCCGCTATCTACTGCTTCCCTCCAACCGCCCACTGAATTTAAAACGGAGTACCATCCATGCAGTCGTCGGCCTGTTTTGCACCAGCCGTATGAAGAATTTGGAATCAACAACGCTGCTTCGCCCACTATGGTTGACTCCACGCCATGGAAACCATTCAAAACTCGAGGCGATTATCTTTTTGCAGAGATCGCCCTTGATGCTGGATTGAACAAGACTCAAGTCAATGGATTATTGGAACTTTTCCTTCTTGTAACCAAAGGTATGGAGCAGGTGACGATGAAGAACGATGCTGAGTTGCGGAAGGCATGTGATAATGCAGGAGCCGAATTAACACCTGTGTGTATTAGTTGTGCTGTGCTGTGAATGCTATTTATCGATATTGATCCTTTAGTTCACCAAGCACGTCATCTCTGCGCCATACAAGGGCAAGGAGATGGAGTTTGAGGTTCATACTCGGCCAGTCTGGGACTGGGCTCTTGACCTGCTCACTGACCCACAATTAGCCCCACACTTTGTCTGGGATGCTGAATGGGTTTACAAACACAATGGGGAAGAGTATGAACGCTTTTATGGTGAGCCTTGGACATGTGATCGCTGGTGGGACATACAGGTAAGTATGTGCAAGCACAGTTCTTGTCCCTGAGCTGATTATAACATTGCCGTCCCCTTAACAGTCTCAGCTTCCTGCTGATGTTGAAAATGCCATACCATTCTGTTTTATATTGTATGCTGACAAGACAAGGCTTTCGTCTCACGGCACTGTGAAAGGGTACCCTGTAGTTGTTCGGTGTGCTAATCTCCCTGTAGACATCCGGAATTCTGAGTCTAGTTGGAGGAGGTTGTGTTGTCAGGCTGGCTTCCGATTGTAAGTTCTACATTATAATATGGTCTGCTCACAATACTGACATCTAATGCGATCTAATCCTTCAAGATCCCAGAGGATGCAGCTGAGGAAGGTAAACTTGGCTATACAACTTTGAAATGTGTTGTTTGGCATGAAAGTGCCATCAAATTATTCAAGGCCATGGTTCACTTCTCAGCAACTGGCTTTCAGCATAGGTGTTGGGACGAGATTATACAGTATCTTTTCCCATTGTTTTTGATACTATCTGCGGACTATGAGGAACAGTAAGTCAATGAACAAATCGGTTTCTGAGTTAATTGAATGATTGCACCAACAGATGTATGATGTCTTTAATTCAAGGTCAGAATGGCAAGGCTCCATGCCCTATATGCCTTGTGCCACTTGAATTACTCCACGACATTTCTAAGACTTTTGCTCTTCACAATGCAGGGCAAGGAGAGGAAGCATTGCGAGTTTACAACGATTGTAAGGCCGCTGGTGAAGCAATTCTCAAGAAGCTTGGTCTGTGTCCTGTACCCGTACGTTCCTCATAGCCCCCATTCACAGTAAGTTTATTAAGGGTAAAAGAATGTCTTTTGGCATATCAGGTACTCTGACCCTCACTTGGCACTGAGTTTTGATCGCTTGCACTGTCCTCCACCTGGGATTGTGGGGAAAACATCTCTTTGAAGATCTGAAGATCATTTTGAGGTACCTTGGACGTGATGCAGAAGCAATGGTTGAACAACTGTGAGCTCAATTCTGTTCTGAGTTTTGGCATGTACTAATCTACCCTACAATAACAGTACAAAGGAGTTTCCATGCTGGCAGAAACTGTTTCAGTTTCACAGCCATCCTCAAGGTGACATTTAATGATGGGAATAAGTTTGCTGACCTATCTATTGTGAGCCAGATTTCTCCATGTTTTCGTGGTGTTTTCGCTGACACAGTAACTTCCTGGTAATAGCAAGTTTTTTATCCTGCATTAAGTATCCTTACGAAGGCAGCATGTCCCGAGGGATATCTCCTTCTTGGCCTTATCAGCAGCTATCTACAACTTGATAGTCTGATCGGCCTCGACATCCAAACCGATCGCACACTCTCTGCCATTGAAACTGAGCTTCTTGTTTTCAATGAAAGGCTACAGGTGAGTCTTGACTCTCATGTTTGAAATGCTATTTCTTTAGTTAGCTCTCTCGGATGTCACATTCACTTTCATAGGCATACAAAGAGTGCGCAATGAACTCTTCCATCCCAGGTCTCAAGGTAGATTGGGACTTTCCGAAGGTGCACCTGTGGAAACACGTGGTGCGTGATATACGAGAAAAGGGGGCAGTGCGAAACTACAGTACTCGCCCCAACGAAAAAATGCATGGCCCTCTAAAGGAAGCTTATCAAGATCACTCAAATGGTAGGGATGTTGCTGGACAGGTAGGTGATTTATTAAAGCTTTGGGCCTGGATGTATCTCACCCTTTCTACTAAGATTCTTCATGTTGACCAACATATCCTTGCATGCAGGCTCCTACATACTCGTATAGACCGGTATGACAAGTGGCACAAAGCAAGAAGTGGGGATGATAACGACAATAACGACAATAACAACGATAGTGTCCTCGAAACTGGGCTTTGAGGGACATTGCAAGCTTGGGTCACCGTGCAAGCCCACCACCATCCAGGGGATCGAAGTGGAACGTGATCGTGAAGACAAAGCATACCTGAGACTTCAAAGAAAGTTCACTGACTATATCAACAAATTTCTGCCTTCAATTGGGCACAAGCTAAAAAAGTGGGTTACCATCCCAGCTGATTTTAATGTATGTGTTTGCCACTTGCATGCCAATTAGATGGTGGCTGATATCATACTCACCAGATATATGAGTACCACTACCTCAAAGTCAACTACGAGTCTTGTGTCGACTGGAAGTTGGCTACCGATCATTTGTGAATGTAACTCTCAGTTCTTCGGCACTCCTTGCTATGACTGTGCATACATGCAACTCACATCAACACAAACAGCCTTTGTTCGCTTGATAACCTTTTTTACATGTCAAATCCACAGCTATGGAGAACTTCAGCTCGCTCTCATTCAGCCTTATACTGCAAGTGTTGGCCAGGAGCATGAACTGGACCGGGCCATGAAACTTACACTGCGTCAAGGCTGTGCCTAGAAGCGATTCCATGTTTATTCCATTAGTTTCGATCATTCGAGGTGCACTCTTGTTCCCTGACCCGAAGAAAAAGGATGAATTTCTTGTGGTAGACCATGTCGATGGTGACATGTTTCTTTGAATGAAAACATGGAAGCAGGGTGGCTCGGTGTGTATTAATATTTGCTGAGCAATGCCATTCAGAGGGAGAATGTTGTCAGACCTTAGTCAACATGACCCAGAACTGAATCCTACCACAAACTCATTTTACTGCATCGAGGTCAACTATTCCATTTCGATCCGACACCTTTACATGTTACAGGCTGCGTCTCTTTTACATTAATGGCTAACACTCGATAATCGAGGTATGTGATTTCCTTGCTGCTTCAAGACTGTAACTGATAGCGGGTTTCAGGCTGGAAACATATATAAGGATCTTGGTCCAAGCTACGTTTTCCATTCTGCAATGGCACTCCCAGACTCACGACCAGTTTTTCCCAGTTGCCCCAGTTTAATTATTTGTTTTCAGAATGCCCCAATCTGACTCTGAGGAGGATTTCACCAGCCGCATTGGTGCCATTGATGGCGGCAATGATTCTCAAGCTGACAAAGGGACTCATGGAGATAGCTCTGACTCTGGAAGTGACCTCGAGCAGATGCGGAGGGCCCTCCATGTCCCAGGTCCCACTGCAGATGTGCAAGAGTTGAGAAAGGTATGGTCCTTTTCTTCATGTCCATCTACTACGAATCACTGACATCTATTCTCAGGCACTTTCCTTTGTACAAGAGGCTTATTTTGAGACGCAGGAACGAGCTTCGAAGCGTACGCAGGGATTATGTAGCCCTTCAAGCTACAGTCCCTGCTCAAAGTCGCAATCGTACCACAAAGGCACCCTCCGAACTCGATAAATCCATTGCCAAAGCTGCCAAGAAGTATACGATGTTCTACAATTTCTGGATCAACGATTCAATTTTCCTGACAATTCAAAAACCAAACATCGATCCCCACAGCCCCATGCATTGGTCATCCCCTCAAGCAATGGCTGATGGGACAGTTGAAGAATTGTATGAGGCGGTTCCAAAAGAACTCCATAAGCAGATGGAGACATACCAAGCGTTCAAGACTGTAGTAAGTTTAAACTCATATCTTCTGGATAATACGTGCTAAACTATTGTATTTGACTTGTATTAGTTTCAGTCACCATGTCAATACAGAACAGTTCTAACCTGCTCAAAGCAGTTAAAGATAGCGCTTCCATTGTCTTCTCATCTTTGAAACTTCCTGTCGATATCTTTTCAGAGTCTCTCCAAGATTCGAAGGCTACCAGCAAGGATCTTCTCATTTTGTTGAAACTCCCAGAAAATGTTGAACTCGACGGCAAGTATGAACGTCTCGCACCAGTTCTGTTCACCGATCCACACAACATGACCTCAGACATGCTTTTCAAGAGTGTGGTACTTGTCAAAGTAAGTTTGTTGTGTTCTATTTCTCTAATTTGACTCAGTTACTCTGCTTATAGATGGTGCGTCTTCTGTTGAAGGGGAAGAGTTCACTGCTTGGCACAAAGAAAAGGGGAGGGCCAAAGCCTAGAGGGGAAATTATGAAGGTCAATAGCATCACCGAGGGAATGATCGCTAGTTTCGCCGTCATGGTAAGTCCTAACATAAATCGTGTCCATGATATAGGGAATGCTAATGATAACATTTTCATGGTAGGCATGCTACTTGCTCACTCATGACACAGAACTCAATGTGGAAGGAAACCACACAAAGATTCGATATCGCGATGATTTCAATTTTTATGTCCAGCTACTCTTCAAATGTAATAAATGGTCATGGGAAGTCATGCAGTTCTTTAATGACGATTTATTTGGGCCACAGCCTCCCCATCAACCACCGCAGTTTGAGCCTACTCACTTAGCTCCTCAGCCACGTAACTGGGAAGATGACCTTCTTGAGGAGATGGATCAGGATTCTGACACCCCTTTCTCGATCCCCAATTCCACTGGAGCCGAGTCCCCACTACAGTCGCAGGCTGGTTCCCATCCTCCTGACATGGCAGCCACTGTTCACCCACCTCCCAGTGCCAGTACTTCTGTACTGGAGGATACGACTGTCAACCATCAAGCATCAGCTTCAATTTCCCGCGAAGGTGCAGGTAATGCGAGGCTGTCTGCTATGACTCAAGTCCACCTTGGTGTCAGAAGACTTTCCCTTACTGACCCGGGTGATGCTGAATCTGGACGCTCCGTTTCTTCTGCTCGCTGCACTTCTGCAGCATCAAAGCAGAGGATCACACCTGTTGCAGCCTGATGCACCTCTTATTACCCAGCCACTGCAGGAGAAACGCCGTACGAGAGCGACAAATCATGGAAAGAAATAGTGGTTGGGTCGTGCCAATTCTGTTAGTACCTTTCTCACTGTCTAAGATCTAAGGCTGTCACCTTCCCTGCATACTTCATATACATTTTTGCTGAGTGTAGAATTACGATTTTAAATGTGATTTTGTCCTCTGGATTTCGGTGACAAAAAATGCCTGTATTTGCTGTCTGAACTACGATGACTATGGTACTTAGGATATTGTCAACTCATTACCAAACCCAGTTGGTACATTATCAAGCAGCATAGCCACATGTTCATTTCTTGTTCTCGTTCCATCACCATGTTCATGACTTGTTCCATTAATTACAAGGCTATTAACATAACTTCACAAGCATCGACACCTTTCAGACTCTCATGGAGTTGTTCAGTAAGTTACTGCACCATAATTCATTGTATCATTATTGATACAGAATGATTGTCAGGTATTTTATAATTTGTCCATGCTCTAGTGTCGGCAACAGTATCGCTCTTAGCCTTGATGACGACGGTCATCCCCAGCCTCTTAACAATTGCCATCCCCATCCCCAGCCTCCACAACAATGGCTGTCACCATCCCTGGCCTTTCTCGATGACCCTCTGCCACAGCGTATTGATGCCAGCGCTCCAGCTCTAGCAAGTCCGTCAGTTCCTTTTTTATTTTTTAATCTTTATCTCTTATTTTTGTTCCTCTACCCCAGCTGCATCTGACCTAGTACCCCAGTTTGTCCCAATGATGATAACATCTGGGATCCCCATCCCAGCGATGAGACTGCCCTCAGCCTTGGCAGACAATGACAACGACCTGCTCCGGCTTTAGCCTCACCCAATGACGGAACGATGCCTCCTCTCCACCCAACAACGATGCCACTCTTGCCTAGTCACAATATTGCTTGGTAGCAATGTCGCATTGGGCTACAATAACATTGATTCAGTAGTTGGTACCACCATGTGTGCGTATGCACATGTTGTACATTTTCATGTGGCTCCCGAGCCCGTCTGCTTCCCCCTACCTCCAGATCTCTTCAGTGATTGTGACAAGATTTTAGGTGCACTCATTGTGCCTGTTTCCAACCCAACTTCATCGATGCCCCCTTCGCCTATGACACCCTCAACCTCGAGGCCTATCTCCAGTACCCACAGTCCCCCTATGGTGTCTCCTCCATGTCTTGTAAGCCCGAATCAGATCCTCCATCATTGTTGTAGCTTACATCACCTTATGGCAGTGCCTGGCCCCTCTTCATCTTCCCCCCGTCTCGGCTTTGACTCGCTGAACCTGTCCAACACCATTGGCGAGTACTCTTACACGTCCTCATACATCACTACCTCCCCCAGTCGTCCTTACATGCCCCTGGAGAATGGCATTTCTCCCCTGCTGTCTACAACCTCTCCACAGGTGAGCTGTCTTCAGATGGCCTTACCTCTGGAAGGCGCAGCCATGACAGTGGTACCCACTCGCCTGTGTCAGCCCTTGGAGTGGTCGTTGCAGCGTCTTGGCCAAGCGTCGCTCAGCGCTATCATGTTTGGTCTTCTTGCATCGATTCCATTGGTTACAGGTACCATCGCCGCTGCTATCTTCATGTGGTCCTTCTATTGTCAGTATGCAGCATCCCTTATGCTCCCAACGATGATGGCCATTCCAAGTCCCAGCGTATCAACACCACCTCTATCCTCATCTGGCGACAATGAGGATAGCAGCGTCCCAGCCCTGAGTTTTCATAATGATGACGTTCCCCTCGACCCACCTCATGCATTAGATCATATTATAGTGCTGATTTTGTGTATATTAGCATGTAATATGATTTCTGTAATTGCTATATGGTATAGAAACCAGGCAATATTAGCTTGATGTTAATGGATTGTGTGCCATCAAAATGTCGAACACTCGCATTGTCATGTCATCGAGATGTCATCCAACGAAATATTGTCTGGTCAGTAATTGCCATAACAAGTAGTGATAATGATGCCAGTGCTCCATTATCATGACATTATCACTCAATGACAACTGCTGTATTCCATAGGGTTCATGCCATGTTGTCATGACATGCTTATGTCACAGAATTTCCATTATTAGACAATAATAATGTGCATTGGGGTCATGACAATAGGGTCTGGGCTGTGTTGTCATAACATGATCAAGTAATCATTCACCATTAGCATGCATTATAATGAATCCTGCCGGCAACCACCATTGAAATGTCTTTATAATGCATTGTCACTGTGCCCAAGAAATTTGGGACAATCTTGTCGCATCTTCCAGCCACTGCGCAAGCCTTGCAAGTGTGCTCGCTCACTCGAATATATACTGTTCAGCCATCCATGCATCCTTCAAGTCCAGAAGTCGACTCAGCATGGTCCTGCATGCCTCAAGGCATTTCATGAGGGCTTGGGTATGGTAACATGGATCCTGGGGGGCATCTTGCCTCGTTTCGACTCCACTGACCTCTCTAGGTACCATTTTGATGCATCTGTGTTGATGCCTTGGCCTGTAGGTTCCATGGAGGTGCTCCATGTGCTCCAGTAGGTGGTTTTGACAACATAAGTATGTTATCTTTGATGTCCAGTGCTTCAGCAGTCAGCCTGACTAGCCTCTCCAGTGAGCAGTGCTCCCTCAGCTCGCTCCAAGTCACCATCATCAATGTTTGCTATGCCAATATTCGTTGCCTCGTTTGCCATCACCTTTGTTGAGTGTCTTGCTCTCTATGCTTGCCACAATTGGCATGATTGTTCCTAACACCTCAAACAGCCTTTTGATGCCTTCAAAAGTGGATGCTTGCCCTGGAACCTTGAACTTGATGCATCCACATTGATGTTTCGGTACTGGAGGTCCTGCAGGCATGTTCCACACATCCTATGGGTGGTATTGATGACACAGGTATGTTTCTTGCACTCTGTGACCAGTCTCCATTGCAGTACTGAATGCTGCTCCCAGCTAGCATCCTCGTCTTGACTCCAAGTGTGTCAATGGCATTGTTGCTTGTTGTGCTGTCCCTGCTGCTCTCATTGTCCAAGTTCCCTTCATCAATGGCCTCCTTTGGCTGTGATTTGACATGCAGCAGATATGCCCATGTCTTGGCTGTCTTAGCACTGGTAGGCCCTGTCTCTGGCCTCATTGCACTCCATTTGACATCTCCACTGACTGACTGGGAAGTTTCAGTGCCTCCATGCACTTCTGGCTCCCTAGCTTTGTCATCAGGTAAGCTCTTGAGTGTGTGCCAACCTTGATAGGATTCTTGTGGTATTGCTGGTGCACAGTTGCACTCGTTTTGCAGCATCTTGACCTCTTGCACCTCACTGGACCCCACTGCATGCTGTTCAACAGCCATAGTGCCAATTCCTTCCTTTGGGTGCTCCTCTGGTGTGTACTGACACCTACAGGTCTCATTTGTTATTGCCAATGTGCAACCCTGCTTGGCACACAGTCCTGTGCCTCCAGGTGCACTGCTGTGCAGCTCTGGCCTGTTGAGGGTGTCTCCATAGGTGTACTGAGACACAGCCATGGGTGGTGACATGTCCTCAACTCCATATGAGCCAGTGTTGCAACTGCTACTGCTGTCCTGGTCATTTTCAGCCTTGACTGGCTGTGCTCCCACTTTTGGTGTGTCTTTCCCATTCTTGACTGTTCTGCTGCTGACCCTTGACACTTCCAGCATCTTCATAATCATGTGCTAATGGTTCTTGCTACCAGCTGACTTGTTTGTGTGATCTTGAAGATCCTTTCCACTGGTGTTTTGGCCATTTGCATAGCTGCTTGCATTACCACCACACTCCCCTTCAAGTGGTACTCATCCCTGCTCAGTTGGTGACTCCAGTATGTAGTTTGTCATAGGGGGTTTAGGTTGACTGTGCTCCGTAGGTGTTTGTAGTAAATTCTTGGTGGTGTGCACTTCCATTTGAAGAGTTAGGTCTGGTGCTGGCTCAATAGCCTCACATTTGCATTGCTCAGCCATGACCTTGGGTTTGGCATACCCATCTGACTCCTTGCAGCTTGTCTCCTCTGCTGCACACTGTTTAGCAGCTGTAGTGTCAACTCCCTCCCTTGGGTGTTTGGCTGGAGTCTGGAGACTGATTGGCAGGTCTTGGGCACTTGTGCATGCCCTTCGCTCGTGTGCACAGTGACCAGGGTCATCTATGTGGTGTTGCAGCACATCTGTGCTGCCACCTGTGTCCTTCGTGTTGCCACTGGGGTCGTCTACATAGTGTTGTGGCACACCTGTGCCACCATTTGGTTGATCCATGGTGCTGCTTGCACAACTGCTATCCCTCTCCCCCTCAAGCTCCACCTCTGAGTTTGGGGGTGGCTGGATGCTCCATTGCTTGGTGGTGCTTTTGCCTTGACAATCCTGGCTGGCCTTTCATTGTCAGCCCTTTCCAGTCATTCATGTTCTAGCATGTTTGATGTGTGGCAGATCTCTGTGTCCCCACCATCTGCCTTGAGGTTCACCATCTCCTTGGCTGTGATATCCTGGCCATTGGTCTTGTCTGTGGCTTCCTCACCCAGACCTCTCTTTGTGGCTTCATTTTCACTAACCATCCCAGATGTCTCACCCTTGACTTCAACTGATTTCGCCCTTTTGAACTTGACTGGAGATGCACACTGACAAAGCACATCTTTGGTGGACTTCGAAGTCTTCGGTTCAACCTCTCCACCCTGTGACATGACTTGCTGGACCACCTTGACTGTAGCCTCAGCTTTTACTTCATCACTGCTTCTCACCTCATCACAACTGTTCCCCTCAAGCATCACCTCCTTAGGCGGCTCACTTGACAGTTCATCAGGCTTTGCATGTGGTACAAGTGTCTTGTCTCATGGTTCTCATGCATATTTGCACTCACCATTTGTTCCCTTTGGTTCGTCCTTGCCAGTGCTTGACTGTCCAGCTGGTACGCTGACACATTTTACAGGAATGGAGGTAGGATTTGGGTTGCCATAGGTAGTCGCTAGGTAGTTGAACATTTCATGGGCTGTCTCATAGTGTTTGATGCACGAAAAGATGGAATCAGGCATGTTCCACATCAGAATAGAGTCCGCAGTTCTACTACACTTCAGCCATTCTTCTAGTTCATTGCTACCTGGCCTTGGTTTTGGCTTTGTGCCAACCAATACTTGCTCCACATTTTGGATTTGTGTGACCTTGAGTATCTTTGCACAATACTCTTTCCAATTCTGTCTGTTCATCTTGAGCTCAGGGATGTAGATGAAGCCTTCCCTAGTCCAGTATCTCTTCACTGCCATTCCTCTTAGGTTCTGCCACTAGGTGGGGCTCATAACCTGAAGAAGTTTGTGGGGTTGCAGAGGGAAACCCAGAGAGGAATCTGTAGGGAACCTCAGTAGTCTGTCAAGCTACTGAGGGACTAGGTAAATTTTACTAGTGTATGTGTGTGCTCTAACAGCTTATGTAAGCAATGTGATTGCATGCCTAAGTCCAAGTAAGGACAGGGGTCATTTCACTCCAACAAGATCCTCCAAACACAAAAGAATGTCATCCAGGATATCCCTAGGCACTGTAGAATATCTGAGAGTGACATAGCTCCATGTTGGTGGAGGCAAAGAGCAGCAAACTTGAGATCAGGCAATATCTTGTGGTTGGGCATCAAAGACAAGTGGGATGACAGCTACCAAACAGCCATGTATCAACTTTTTTGCCAAGTCTCTACTGATGCTTATCATATTTGTTTGTCTCCCTCACAACCCACCAGTATCATTATATATGCAAACAGCTGTAATTCTAGTGGATTTACGATTACTATAGTGAGAGGACACTTGGCATGAAATCGTTATAACAGGACAATCGGACACAGCTTTGTACATATACACGTATGATATGTAGCTCACTGCACTTATAGGATGGTAATTTGGCTAGCTCAATGGACCCTAGCTTCGGGTTAGGGTCCGCCAGTGAGGCGACAACCAAAGGCCGACATGTGCGAGGTCTACACCCTACCCTATTACAACAAATAGGTGCACCTGCTTTTTGAAATGCCTTCATCCGAGCCATCGAGTCACCCCTCCGACGCTGAGGATAAGATAATGGCCTTGCGATCGTCTGCAGACAGCATCGTCTCGCTACGGACGCTTGACAGTGTCCGCGATGAAGTCGCCCATGGCATTGCACTGCGCGCTATCATGAAAGCCAAGGTCGTTGACGGCGTCAAGATATCTGTTTACTTTACCTTCTCCAAGAGGGACGACGATCGCTTCTTGCGTCACGTCTCCAACATCATCCGTGCCCGTCTCCCTACCCGTCATCTTTTCGCCCTCGCTACGACGGGAGCCCCATCCCCATCATCACTCACCAATGCTAACACTCTCGTCATCACCGGAAGCGACGCAGATGACGTCCAGAGTGCTGTGCTTCTCGCCAGCTCCAAGTTTCTCGGTCGAGTCGTGTCTTTGACAAATGATGGCGACCTCATGTCTGCTGCTATCGAAGACATCGGGGCGTCGTCATACGACAGCGCTGCACTATGGGATGTACTTCATAAATCCGTCCGTGCACCTCTCGACCGACTCGTTCCACCACCAGGGTCTCGTAGCACCCTTCAGCTCATCGACGCAGCTCGAGCGAAACTCCAACGCGTCCTTCCACAACAGGCCTGGGATATTCTCCACGATCCTACATATCCCATACCCGCCTTCCTTGTCGACATTCGTTCTGCTGCAGAGCGTGCTCGCTCCGGGGGAATTCATGGATCCCTTATCATCGAACGCAATATGCTAGAACGCCGATTCGACCCACGATGTGAAGACAAATTAGCCATTGCCGATAGGTATGACCTCCGTGTCATTGTGTACTGCGAAGACGGGTGGGCGTCGTCACTTGCTGCAGCATCACTACACGAGATTGGTATGTGGAATGCAACGGATATCATAGGGGGTTTCCAAGCTTGGAAGGCTGCCAGATTGCCTGGACAAGTTAAAGCTCCTTCGACCGAGAGTAAAACGGCAACATTGGAAGGATTTTCCCAAATATCTTGGGAAACTGAGTAAGGGTTGCGGAGTGTCGGTGATATAACACGTCACCAATGGGATTTGGTAACGCGTCTTATACATGACTATGTCTTATGCGATAGTCTCGATGGAAAGTCTGGGTCTATCGTCCAACACTACTGTACAACTTCTGGTACTACATGGGGTGGTATGTACATATGCGTGCGTTGTCATTCAAAACCAGGGTATACTCATATACTACATTATACAGTCTTCGTGGCCAAGGTGGCATATACCTAGTTGATGCTCTCCTAGTCATATACCACTTGATACAGGTAATATGCACGAACACTTGCTTAAGATTGTGTGGTCGGTGTGGGTTTCGCCGGAAGTATCAACCTCCACTTCTCTATATCCCACGAAGGTGATCAATAGGAGAACAATTTGCCGAAGAAAGTGGGCTTACCTGCAAGACCAGTAATGCTAAACATGGAGCCATTGGTGTTATTTGCAGATGAGGAGGGCTGGTAGAATGAAGGCTGACGAACGCGAGTCGCCCTCCAGTATCTGGCCCGGTGTTTATCTGCGGGTAGTTGACCCTCCGCGATGAGGATCTAGACAACATGTCAATGACTTCCGACGACGGCTTACTCATGTGTCAAACCTTGGTCTTTGGTGTCGAGCTTCCGGAGTCTGCCAGCTCAAGCATGATGTCAGTCATGGGCCACCGTATTCTATGCCACGGATACTAGTTAAGTGACATCAGTCAACACGGACTTAAAAAACTTCATACTCGTAAAATGCCGCGTTCTCCTCGTTAACCCGGACTTCTCTGATGAACCACGCAACCGGGTAGTCACTTGCGACAACCGGAGCGTCTTTGGATAATGATTTCACGGAAAGGTATTTTCCACTTTTGAGATTGCGAATAGAATGACCAGCGCCTAAAGGGCTAATCTCCCACTTTCGCAATGCATAAGCGACACAACATGACCGGAAAGTAAACACGGATCGCCACCTTTTGAGTTTCATTTTCTTTCGGGGGCATGCCTGAAGTAAAAAAAAAACACGGATAATAGTAATTGTAGGAGATAAGAGCAGAAACAAACAGGATAGCAAGCGGAGACACTGACCTATTAGCGAATGGTCAGTAGTATTCATCTCCATAGCCGTCCCGCTCTGACGGTTGACGAACGTGTAGGTTCCTCGGTGTACTGGCATTTTCGATTGTCGAAGCTTGCAGGAGGGGTGCGAAGCTGTAGAGAAGGCTTATATAGACCAGTAAAGACAGTCCTCCTGAGGTGGATCCGTCCGAACATGTGTGCTCCGCATGGTCCTTGCCATGCGCGAGGGCGGTGTACGTGACTCAGAGACTCGAGGACAACACGACGCAGTCGTTCGAGATCGTACTCACATCCAACCTGGTTCAATGAAACCAGGATGGCCGTTGTCATGCTGCGAATGCTGATGGTGGGGCAATGGGTTCGTAACCAACTATCCTCGAATCCGTCAGAGCTTACCACAAATCAGAACTATGAGCTATCAGCCTCAGATACTGCTCAGACACTGTCTCGTCACACCAATCATCCGCGATTAACACCGCAAGAAGTCTGACACTGACAATATCCGACAGATAGAAATGGAAGATATCGGGGGTAAGGTGGCACCAGTGCATTGCGAACGTGCATCACCAGTTAAGCTGTGGCAGTTTTGAGGACATTTCGGGCAGATGGCTGTACGGACTTACTTCTGAGAGTCATTGAAGGGGTTGCGCATGCCCGTACACACTACAAACGCATTTCCAATAGCAAGGTAGAATTGGTCATGAAGGTCCAGGGAGCCAACTTTTAAATTTTGGGACCTCCATTCTGATGGAGATGTTAGTGACGCACGTGTCATGATTCGAGACCTGTCCACAGTGATAGGTGCAAGAATCTCAGCGTCAATCTGTAGACGAAGTCTTTGTGAGCCACCGGCACTTCTTGAAAAGTAAAAGTTTGAAGAGGGTTCATCGTGACCGTGTTTTAGCGAACGAAAGCATCTCGCGGGTTGGCGGGCAACAGGTAGTGCAGGATTGTGTATCTCCCAGGAGATAGGGAGGCTGGCATTGTGAGACGCTACCAGCTTATCACCGCACCGCCTAAACACCAAGCCGCAAACTGCCAGAAGACCTATGAACCGTCGGGTCAGTGCGTCAGTGACTGACACTAGCTGACACTGAGTTCAAGTTTGAGATTTGAAACGTCCTATCGGGATGATCCTAAAGCTAATGGCTTACGCGAAAGTGGCCGCCCCGCGACCGTTTTGTCCGGTGATTGGGACGTGGGTATCGGCGCCGGGCGAAGTCCTTCGCCTTGTCTTGAAGGCAAGGGTCGCCCTTCGAGCTCAGAGCAATCGCTTGAAGGTTTTTCCCCCAGTATCTAACTGTCCTACTAGCCTAGCACTACTACCACCGCTAACCGGAAACCGCTCGGAGTGGTCCGACGTGCCGGAGTGTTTTTGGATCCGGGGCCGAAGTCTGCCGCGCCCTGGCGACCAAAAAACCGCCCAATTTCCGCATGCGGACCCCGCCGAAAGTCCGTGCCGCCCACTGCTTCCGCGAATTGAGTGTACCTGAGTTCTCCTGTTCATCGAATTCGAGAGTTGCCATTCGATAAAGGGTGTACGTGATAGTAATTGGAATCTCCTATGGGCGTGCCAAAGTCTGATGTTGATGGTCACACAGTGCCGGGATTCTGCGATCATACGGTTGGTTGTGTCGCAGATGGTCAGGTGTGGGGCCTACTTAGCTAATCGACAAGAAATCTTCACTGACCTGGTTCTCACCGCCGCAGTGGGCAACAGCGCTGCGGAACGTCAATTCCCCCGAATAACTGCATATTATGTTTCTCCTCGTCATAGCAATGTTGCCAGGAGACGTTACTTGTCCGATCGTTGAAGTCCGGCGCAGCAGCTCTGCCCTCCGCTTTTCCATCTTTTCAAGTTGGCCTTTATCGTAACTCTTACTATCCCTCGCGTACACCATGGGCGTGATCACCCACCTGCAGGGCTCAGTTAAGGGTATACCCAATCGCTACATCGTTCTTGTCACTGTATTTTTGGTGAGTATTTGTGCCATGTAACAATTCACTTGTCGTGGCCTTAACACCAACTTGTGTTCAGACTTTAATTCTCCTCACTCTGAAAGGCCTTCTATATACCTCTGATGCATTGTCAGTGCCCCTTGGCATTTCCCAGTCTTCAGTGTCCAACGAGGTTGCGTACGAAGCACCGGCGGCGCCTATCATCCGGAGGGCCAACGCCACATTTATAATTCTTTGTCGCAACTCAGAAATAGAGGGAGTCATCCAGAGTGTCAGAGAGGTCGAAGATCGATTCAACAGGGATTTTAATTACCCATACGTATTTCTGAACGATGAACCCTTTACTGACGAATTCAAAACGTAAGTCGATCGTGATCCACGCGATTTCTTTCTTATGTACATTTTTGGGCGGTCCCCAGGCGCATATCCGTCATATCACCCTCCGTGATGGAGTTTGGCGTTATCCCCCACGATGACTGGCTCCAACCTTCATGGATTGACGAAGAGAAGGCCTCAGCTGCCAGGAAACAAATGGAGCTAGACAACGTCATATATGGAGGTGCGCCTTTGACGGTTGATGGTAGCATCAATGCGCCGCTGAGGCAATACCACAGGCAGTGTCTCTTACCGCAATATGTGTCGGTTTAATTCCGGTGTGCGTGTACTTTCTTTATTTCATTGTGAGGGTTGGTCCTAGGAAAAGACAGTTCTTCTTCAGGCACCCTCTTGTACAGAAATACAGGTAAGGGTGTAAATGGTATTTCTTATCACTTCATAACTCCTGACCAGTCATCATTGATAGATATTACTGGCGTGTCGAGTAAAGCTCTCTCACTTTTGCGCCATCGGGGATACTCCCACTGACCACTTCTTAAGACCTCACGTTCATTTTCCCTGTAACGTCCCATTAGATCCGTTCTTATATATGCAAGACCATAACAAAACATATGGTAAGTTAATCATTTCTTTTTCACGGATTAGGATTTTCACCTTTCACCGATGTCTTTTTGAAATGCTGATGAGGAATTCATAGGTTTCACCATCACCTTGTATGAATTTGAATCTACTATCCGAACTCTCTGGCAGACTGTACAGGGTTCGCATGATATGACGTAAACCGTGCGAGACACCCCTGGCTGACTGTCGCGTTTCTGCAGAATATGTGTCACTGTACCCAGAGCATATACATCCGGACAACGCGATGGGATTTATCTCCGCAGATGAGGGCGCCCACTATAATCTGTGCCATTGTACGTTCTCGATTTAACATTCGACATTTTAACTGACCCCACTGACCGCCCGCGCTTGCCCTCCGTATATCAGTCTGGAGCAACTTTGAGATCGCAGATATGGACTTTTGGAGGTCAGACGCGTACATGACGTTCTTTGAGTTTCTCGATTCCAAGGGAGGCTTCTATTATGAGGTGCGTTTTCTATCGTTGGGCGTAATAATGAGTAATCTTAAATATTTGACGTCTTAACTGTGATCCTTACTTTTGCAGCGCTGGGGAGATGCCCCTGTACATTCCATAGCAGCATCACTATTTTTACCACAGAACGCCATTCATTTCTTCGACGAGATCGGGTACCAACACATTCCATTCAGTCACTGCACGGAGAACGCGGAGCGGTGGAAAAATGGTCGATGTTCATGTGATCCAAAAGAGAGCTTCGATTATAATGGTTACTCGTGCCTACGACAGTGGGAAGCAGTTGCTGGTCATCGCTAAACATGTATTTAACTAGTAGATAATTTGGAGCTGGCCACGTGTATGGCCTAGTATTGACAGGGACCCCTTGTGGTCCCAGCGCTGCTATGCGGTATGCATAGTAGTCAAGTAAGGAGCCGAGACGCTGGAATCGCCAGGAAGTTCACAGGTAGTCGTCAGTTCAGGATAGCTGAATATAGGGGTTATTTCCCTAATTGCGGTAATAGCAGGGCGGAGCAGTTTGTCTGATCATCTGGCGCAGATGCCAACTGGCAAGGGCCGTGTTGAGCACACTCACTCCAGATCACAAGGCTATTGGGCATCAATTCGTAATTCCAGGAGCATACAGACAATTGATACCCCCAGAGAGCGAGACTTGCGGTGGCCATAATGAGCTCCCTGGCCTTCCTGGTGACGGAGCTACAGGTGCGTATTCGCCTGCTTTCTTGCTGATGCCGCTTCGTGACCCGCGAGCTTCCAGTCCTTGGCCAGCGAAACAAGAAGAAAGCACCCAGAGATTCGCGAGGTAGCCCGTCATGCTCAAATGTCGCCATCACTGCTCATCGTAACACGTAGGCCGCTGAAAAGTCGTTAGCAATTCTCAGGTCTTCCCCAGAGCAAGCCATTGCATCCCTGGCCTCAGGTTTGCTTACTCCATCCATTGTCGTTTTGCTGAGACGAGTACGATATTCATTCCTGCAGATGGCGCACACTCGGATGACCTTCTTCGACCCGTTTTCATGGGATGCGCCACGAAGAACGCAAAAGTCGTGGCTATATCGCTGGGTTCACTCCAAAGACTCATCGCTCTCAAAGCAGTGCCAAAATCCGCTGTCCCTCTGATCATTAGCACCATGAGCGATGCTATGAGCCAGGGGGTCGACATCCAATTACGAATCCTGCAGACTCTGGTTTCGCTTATCACGAACTTTCCCTCCGTTCATGGAGATCAACTTGGGGAGGTATGTCCACGTGCCTTTAACTAGAAGATATTGGTAAACTTCCTTGCGATCTTCGCCAGGCTCTCCTCCTGTGTTTCAAGCTCCAGGACTCTCGAATAGCCGTGGTCTCCTCTACCGCGGCGGCCACACTTCGTCAGCTGGTGATGTTTGTCTTCGATAAAATGGTCGATGAGGACAGACGGAACGCTGTGCCTGCAAACGCAATGTTGGAAGTTACACTTCCAAATGGCAGCACTGCATCACTGGGGCCGTACGCAACAGATGCATACTCTGTTTTCGAAGACCTATGCCTACTAACGAATGCGGAAAAGCCTCACTTCCTTCATCTCGATTACCTGCATAAGACTTTTGCACTCGAACTGATCGAAAGCGTGCTTACGAACTATCACGACCTCTTTCGGCAGGTCGGTTTCAACTTCTCTTTTTCCCGCTAGCATTGCTCACCAATTTCCAGCATTCAGAACTGTTGCTATTGCTCCAACACCATTTGTGCCCGCTGCTTCTCAAATCGTTGTCAGAGAAGGCGGTATTTCCGCTGACACTTCGTTGCTTCAGGGTCGTCTTTTTGTTGCTCAAGAAGTTCTCATTCGAACTGAAGACTGAAGCGGAAGTATTCTTTATGCTTCTCATCAAAATCGTGTCCGAGGACTTGGAATCAAGCACACTCGACCATGCAGAGGTGCGCCCTCCGTGGTTGAGAGTCCTGGCGATGGAGATAATACGAGGGTACGTCTAATTATGTCGAGTTTCCTTTGGCCTCACCTGTCCACTTTCATAGACTATGTAGCGACGCCGAGCTCATTCGCAACATTTGGGATCGCTACGACGCTCGACAATCAGGCGCAAAAGTGTTCACCTGCCTTATTAGCGCCCTCAAGCGGTTGGTGACCGAAAAGCCTGCTTTGTTGGGTGTTTGTGCCCAGATGTCGGGTGTGGGTGTACATTCCCACTCTGCAGAGGGTCCTAGTGGTTCGAGCTCAGCTTCGGGATACGGATTGGATGTGGGAGGTGTGGCGGGTATTGTAGCCACTGCAGCAAGTGCGACAGTTTCTGGAGTTGTAGGCATGATCGGTTCGGGAACTGGGCTCAGCGTGGAGCAGTCGGGGATGAAACTGCAATGGTGTGTACTACCACAACTGTACTCGTATCGGTCAGTCTGAAAGACGCGCTGCTACAGCATAGACCAACTCGACAAAGCCGACTCGCCCCCTATCCCAGAGACTTATATCTACCTTCTGGCTGTTCAATGCATCGTCTCTCTCTGCGAGGGCTTTGCGTCGTTTACTGGGCCTTTATATACTTCCATCATGGTCCAACGACCTCGCACTGCAGGGGAGTCCGTTATCCACGCACCTCCTGCCCTGGACATTTCTTCGCTCCCTCCTGATGAACCAGCTACAATCCATCTCGGCATCGTTCGTGCAATGGTCGACCATGGTTGGCCTGCCCTACTAGCAGCTCTATCGTTCATCATCTATACCAATCTCTCTGACGAACTCTTTATCGACGTGCTTACCAGCTACCAGGCAATGACAAACGTCGCGGGAATGCTTGCACTCACCACGCCACGAGACGCATTCTTTACAAGTCTATCGAAGTTCGCGGTACCTTCTCGTGTGGTGTCTAGTCTAGAATCATACATCGAACCACATACCCCTCGTTCGTCGGCGTCACTCACGGATAACTTGGGGTTGACCGTGCCTCCGGCTGCCTCCGAGTTTATCTGAGCGAAACCTCGTCTGCCTAAAAGTCTTGATCTCGAGCGCCCTTTTCCTTGCTGGAAGTCTTGGGGAAAGTTGGTACAGCATCTTGGAAGCAGTCCAGAATGCGGAGTATGTCCTCACGTTGAAAGGATCTCAGCTACCTTCTTCAAGACGTAATAGCACGATCATTGGTGTGGCTGCGGCATCTCGGGTACCATCCAGTACAGGCGTGCCAGATAGTGTGAAGGCGTCACAACCCCCTCGCCACCCACTTCTGGTCGATACTGACCCTGAAAGTATCCAACTTGCCATTCAACGCTTATTCGAAGCATCAAAGAACCTTGAGGACTCCTCTTTTCAGGATTTTGTTAGAGCATTGTGCAGGCTCAGCTCAGAGATGGTGGGAATGCAATCTGACACCAACGAGTTCCCAACTGGTGAATCTGAGGGTCCGGACGAGCTGCCAAATCCTGGTGGTCTTTCGCCTAGAGCCGGCGTCGCGCATCGTCGACGCGTGAGCGGCATTCATCTGCCTCGTACGCTGGTGAGTTCTCTCTGTTCTGCTGGCGATTCAACATTGTTGACTGACATTGGCATTTTTATTCTAGCGCTCCGGAGACTTCGGCATTGAGAGACTCGGGGTTGTTGCCATGCTAAACATTCATCGCCTCATTTACCGCCCGCCAGATATTGCTTGGGACCCAATGAGCACCCATCTTCTTTCCATTATCGGTCTCGTATCTGCACCTCCAGCCATTCGTGTCCAAGCAGCCCGCGTTCTGGACGAATGCCTGGTTGTCATCCCTCGCAATTTGTCTCCTAACCAAGAATTGCAAGCCAAGGTTCAGCGCCGGGTGCTCGACGTACTCGCAAAGCAAATAATTCCTCCGCCAGCAGATGGGATCTACAACACGAGTACGAACCTTGAGTTAAGACGGATGGGGCTGGAGACGCTTCATTTGATTCTGCAAGCATCTGGTCATACTCTTGTGGTCGGTTGGGAAACTATATTCGAAATGCTCGGCAGCGTCTGCAAACCGGCAATGTTGTCTCGTGCCGACTCTATCGATTCTATCAGCACCGTCTCCCTCCAGGATACCAATCGACCGAAGCCTCTTCCACTCGGGTACAATAACGAGCGTGGACATACTACACTAGTCAAGATTGCGTTCCAGTCGATGAAGTTAGTGTGCGACTCCGTGTCATCCCTTTCTCCAGAGCATCTGCGCCTCTGCATAGCTACTCTCGGCCAGTTTGGTCGCCAAGCAGAGACCAATATCGCATTAACGGCGGCTGAAAGCCTGCTATGGAGTGTTTCGGATTCCATACAGGCAAAACGGAAAGATGCACAGATAGAACCCAAGTACAGTGAATTGTGGATGTTCCTGCTCGTCGAGGTGCTTGGTTTGTGTACGGATGCGCGCCCGGAGGTACGGATGGGTGCCATTCAGACACTGTTTCGTGCCATGCAGTTATATGGTGCAACCTTGACCCTGGATACCTGGAATGATTGTATGTGGAAGATTACCTTTCCACTTTTGGATGCCATTTCTACTGAGACCCGCCGTGTTCCCCTCGACTCTGCCGTGCCCTCGATGGAAGAAACTCCTGAACAAGCATGGGATGAGTCGAAGAGCCTTTCACTGCAATGGATTGGAACCGTTATCTCAGAGTTCCTCGTCTCGAAGGTCTTACGTCTTCAGACATTCATAGATGCGTGGAAGGTCTTCGTCTCGCATATCAAGGATACTGTTCTTTTGGACCGGCGGTCCCTCAGCACGCCCGCCCTTCAATGTCTGGAGAAGGCTGTCGATTCCCTTTTGACTGCCGATGGTGATCTAGGACCTCGAGTTGCGGAAGCTTGGGAATACGTGTGGCAAGCTTGTAATGACATTGGAGTTGCTATTGCGCAGGGAAGTAGGCTGTTCCTCCCACCACAAAGACATGTATCTGCAGTACACAGACCATATACCCAAGACAGCCTCGTGGCTTTCACCAAAGTTATCCGCACCACACGGCGGGTAAGCTGGAAACAAACCCACACCGAGTGGTCTCTAGAACGTCTGACACGCCTAATGGAAATCTTGAAAGGCTTAGTGGCCTTATATGTCCGACATACTGGCATCACTAGAACCCCCTGCTTTTTAGGTGTCATGACTTATTCTGACTCTCCTGATTATCGTCCTGATGTTGACGGGCTCACGCCCCTTCAGGTGCGCCCAGAGTGTGTTGTTCGCATCATTCTCCACCTACAATCACGCAGGCATCGATACTAGAGACCGCGGAGAGCATCGAACTCACCGCATCAGGTGTACCTTCTCTCGTCATCCGGGACCTGTCGGAATATATTACTCTACCTTTCCTCGCAGCTTTCCATCCCAACCAAGTCGATGCTTCCGTCCCTGGGACACCGGTTACTCCTGTGCCGGCGTCGGCGCGTAAACAGGTTACCTACATTGGCCTCTCAAAAAAAGTGATGCCATCCCTCGTTGAGATGTACTTGCGCTTCAGAGACCGTACGGAGATATACGAAGACGGCACACTCGAAGCTGTTCTTTCTGTGCGTCGTCGGGTTCTTCCGACTGCTATCTTGTTCACCCTATACTTCTGACCAGGCATACTCGATCCCGATGAAGCTGAAGTATGATTGTCCGTCCCCATCGAAATACGGGAAGGATCCACCACTATGGAAGACAGCGACCACTTGTTTCTCGCGTATCGTGACGGAGTGTGCGGGTGATGTCTCACGACTGGGCCAAAGTTAGTCCCTATCCAGTGATTTCCATTCGAGTTCCAGCAGTGGGTAACGTCCAGTTCCCAGGTATATCAGATGCACGTGTCGAAGCTATTTGGAGGCGCATTATTGAAGGCTTCCGTGGAGCAATTCTGGCAGATTGGTGTGTGGCGCTCTGCTTTCTTGTACTATTTCATTTACGACTTACGACACATGGTTAGTTCCGCAGCCGAAACACTCAGCCTAGAGGAACAAGAAGCAGAAGAGAACTTCGACCTTGCGCTTATAAGTTCTTTGGAGGTCGACCTTGTCCCTCACCTTGGAAACCCTCGCGTTCCGGATTATCTTATTATTCAGCTTGCAAAAGTTCTACACCAGGGAAGCCAGCTCTTGAAGGACACCTCAATGTCATCGTCTGGACTAGAAGACGACGACAGGACTGTCGAAAGTGTCTACGCTTCACTGGATTCGTACGAATCCCAGATATCCAACATTCAAAGCCTGGGCAGTACAGTCGTGGGTAGTGCGGTCCTCAGAGAGAGATTCTCGTTCTGGTGCTTAGACTTGTTATTCCTGATTTGTTCCAATGTCACGAGTGGTAAGTTCTTTCTCCAGATCGCTCCTAATCCCATTTCAATGGATGTGATATTATGTCAGGCCATGCGGAGTCGCGCAGACGCGTTGCTGCATTGTCCCTTCCATCACTGCTTGACCGTTGCCAGACGGCCATGGTGAGCTACATCGCGGACGAGGTCTTACGGGGAAATCTACCCTTCCCAAGGTAAGCTGCACTTGTTGACAAGAGTAGTTTAAGTTTAAGCGCACCCTATCTTAGAGTCCGTGAAGATGAACTCTTACATATCCTGCGAAAGCTTCTAAAGTTGAGACTTTGGCCTGGCACGTTTTGGGCTGCGTTCTCGGATTCGCCAACAAAGTATAGCTCAGCACTACCGCGTACGTCTAATATTACAGTGGAGACATACCTTGATACTCATGGTACACTTCACCCACGCACACAGTCATTGATCCAAGCCTACCGTCTTCTGCGTTGATTCCAGATATCGTCCGGCGGTCATCTGTGGCACACCTTTTCCATTTCTACACTGTTTTGTGCGAACTTTCGTCGATACCGAGACAGACACCCTCCACATGGATTGTGTCGCCACCACCTACGCCTGCATCTTCTATCCGCAGTCGGGTACCGGAGGACAAGGGATCGACACCTTGGCCTGGTCCTTCTGCTCCCCGTGCGGATATGACGAGTAATGAGGTGACAGTCGTAGATGCAAGAGGTCTAGCCAGGGAGTGCTTGAAGGTGCTAGGGAAGGAACTTGGAGCAATTTAGTGCAGCCGTAAGCATATTTGGTAGACATAGTAGTGCTTCTCGTTGCACAGGCATGAACGTATGCAGTAACTGTATCACTAGAAATCTAGACTCCCTCGAAGGGTGCGAACTGCCATGAACCGCAATGATATGGCACCGGGCAAGTAGGGACTGGCTAGTTTTATGTACGTAGCCACCAGTAGGTGAGCGTTGGCTTGAACTGAATAGCGCTCCTTCCTCGCACACCTTTGCGGAGCCACGTCAGCCGGGACCGGTATCAGATAATGGACATTAGACTGAGCAAGTGGGGAGGTCCATATACACTATACGTTCTGCTCGTACAAGCAAGGTCCTTGTCACTGACACGAATGGATATATTGCCATGTGAGTGCCAGTCATCTGTGGCCTCGAGGTTATGCTAGCGAGTAAGGTGAACATTTGAAGAAGTATTTTGGGTACCACGACAAAGCCCAATTTGGATCTATTCGAATGTATGGTTATTGAGAACGTATCCAATCCTTCCGTCTGAGAACTTGTTCGATTGGAGTAACTCACACCGTTGAAGGTGCGGACGCTGTCGCACACAGCCATCACCTGTGTTCGGACCAGATTTTGACGGTGGGTTCCAAAAGATCACTCTTATCCATGTATTCTCTAACTAATTGGACTCGCTGTAAGCGGAACCACAAAAATTCCAGAGAGTGCCCTCAAGTTTGGGTGAGTCATTTGTCGTGATAATAGGAGGTAAACACTGAAGACTGAGTGGCTGCTTACCGTGCTCGTAATCAGTCCATCAAGTGGGTGGTGTACACGTCTTCGGAGGCCGGTGGGTAATGTGATGTGAGAATGTATTGCGACGATACATGGTACACAATGGTATGGAGTACTCCAGTGCCCAGTAATGCTAGCGTACTATGCGAGGCAGAAGCCATGAAAGTATATCAATACCATTTAGAGGCCGACGTGAATGCTTGCGTTACCCAGATCAAGTTATCTTCCTGCCAGCAGAGCCCCGACATCTGTTACGAGTGTCCACACTTTCTCTGCTTCTTCGTCCACAGGGCTCTCCTCGTACATCCTTATCCTTGCAGTAGAACAATTGTACCGCTCGTACACGGCTGCCCCCTCTGTTGTCATCCCAAGATTATGGTACACGACCATCAACAACCACTGAACATCGGAGGCTGCTTCGAACATTTCGAGGTGTACGTAGTCATTCTCTGCCATCAGGAGATGAGGCAGAGCACTTCTTAGTTTCGCTGCTGCAAGTAAGTAGTAACGCGAAGGCCTTGGATCCGAGGTAAACATGGATACACACGTTCAGCATCAGAGGAAGCAATGATACATCTGCCTAAGGTGTAGCAGGCGAGTGCACGGTGTTCAACATCATGACCAGGGAGAAGCTATGATCTTGTCAGAATACATGCCGTTGTGTAACTTGACGCTCACTTGAGGTAATATTCCCTCTATCAAAGACTGGCAATGCTTGGACATGCCAAACCCAAGACCAGCGTCCGCTAGCAGAACGATGCCCAGCCTATACAAGGGAAACCTCCCTTGAAACTCAGAGTTCCAAAGGGACTGTAACAGAGGTTGGATCGCTGTAACAGCTTGTCCATGCCGCTGCCATCGGGCGTCAAGATTCGTCTTGTACTGTGAAACAGGGTACTCGCCCGTGCACTCATGACCTGGTGCAGCTCATCGCTCATTGGTGGTAGCGGGGTTGGGCTGTCGTCGAAAAAATACTCCTTTGAAACAAATGTTGATGTTGATGGTTGCCGAGGAAGTAAAAAGTCATGGAAAAGCCGACGCTGCCCTCTTCATCTCATGACTGAGAGATAAGCGAGATCCGTCAACGGAGTGCCCACCTCCGGCTAGTTCTCAACGCCAATATGTGCCATATCATGTTTGCCCATTCCTGATAGAGGTCTAATGATAGACCACGCCATGTGCGAGGCTGTACCAGTAGCGTCAGAGCATCCTGATACAAGCCGTTCCTTGCCATCTACCATCAGCAACAATAAGAAAATACTCCGCTAATGATGGATAAAACTACGCAACTCTGTAAGCTTGATTTAAAACAGAGTTGAGTCGATTTGGATCGTCATCTCCCCAGCGCGAAAATGCTTGTATGATCGATTCCTCCACCTTAGCAAGGCTGTGACACCCTAAATGGACATGAGTATCCAGATAAAAGCATGTTCCACGCAGCGCACCCAGAGCACTCCACAATACCGCTTGCATTGCATGCAGACCAAGACGCTCTCGTTCATGGGGAGAAATTTTTTTCAGATCAACCCAACTATTGTATAGTCCAATAGCCTGCGAAAGCTTCTCAAAGGCAAGAGTTAACGGTTGACCCTAGACTAAGGTTAGAACAAACATCATAGACTGAATATCAACCTCACGCTCTGTGGCTGAAGCAATTTCGCTACATCATACAAAACCTCAAACGGGTGAAGGTCAGGCTGAATTTCATTCAGCACTGGTACACCACTTGATGTGGGCAACCGGTGGAGCATACTACACGTCATAAGCATATGGCGACCACTGATGACACTCATGTATCTGACCTGATACAGTGCTGCAATGTAATGCGGTCCCCACAAGTACGTGCAACCGAGATTGCTTCTTGTAATAGCTAGGACACATATATAAGGCACTTAAGACACTTGAACGTAACCCTCACATACCTTGCTTGCAGCAGCATACTCTTTGCGTACATAATGCATACGTATAAGGTTTAACAAGGCGTTTTGACGTATTCCACTGATCCTGGATTAGGCGGAGGCGCATCCGGCGAGATTTAAACGACCACGAACGAATCGTTGTTGGTGTGAAACATTTGTTCGAAGTACCTCCGCAAGTTCTCAGGTCCAATGACATCATCGCCGGTGTCACGACCCTTTTCCCATCTAGGAAGAGACCTGCCGCGTGAGATGCAAATAGCAGAAAACTGTGCAAACTTACACTTCGAAAGGTTCCGGGTGTGCCGTTAAACCATAATCGCTCATAGTTGTGAACAACCAAACATCTCCGGTCAGAAGATCTTTTTCAACGGGACCACATCCTGCTTTGGTGTCACCTGCGCACCAGGATTGGTAGTCCTTCCTGCAGTTCCATGACACCATAGAAAGAAAGCCGGGCATAAGCTACATAACATCGCCGACAGAAAAAGCCGAACGGTGATCGACGAAACTGGATATGGATGAGAGCTTGGAACAGGTTTATAAAAGCAGGATGATACCAGAACACTGGGCTGTAATATTCAGGACAGGGTAAATAATGGAGTCATGAAGGGGTATTAACCAATTTACCTCGTCCCCACTCTTGTCGGTATATATTGGAGGAGCACCTATCATTCATGTAATCAACGCAAAAAGTAGTGCAGAGCGCAGTACGAACTGTGAAAAAAGCTAGTGAACTGGGCGACGCTTGTCAACTGCTTTGGCTTTGAAACCGGTATGAGATAATGGGAACTTGTCAGATTAAGCGAACCCACCGCAGACTCGAACGCCAGTATATAATTCTGAACGTTCAAATTGTTTATTTGTGGTGCTCCCTTTAAGAAATCCACGGTCTCCTGATGAGTTGCTGGCTGAACGGCCTACGAATAGCTTAGCACGTCACACGCAAGACACATAAGACATGTGTACCTCGCTAACCTCAAGAATGAGAAATCTATAGATGTAGAGCAGAAATTTCGATGGGAGTTTTCCATAGAACTCTTTGAACGCGAGCAAGATCATCGCGAAAACGTCGATATGATGGGGTCGGAGCACATTGTGAACAGGTGGAGGTGATCCTGGTTTGTATTCCATTTTAGACTGTAAACTCCCCCGCGTATCTTCATAAGCTTGGGATTGAAGACGGTGTTCCGGGTAAGTTGATCGCAACGTGCGTCCGATGGCAAGTTGGCCGACATATATTTGTCAGCACAGAACGAAATCTATATATAGTCATCACGGCGGCGTACGCATTCTTCGACCCAACCTTTACTAGGTGACTTCCCCCTTGTTTAGGAACAGCGCAAACGGTATCGTGAGGTGTGTTGCAACATCCATGATCATCCAGATACCAGATACACTCATACACATTTTGTGGACTGCCGTGACAGAGCCAGCTGTGTCGTTGAGGAAATAATAGGGTAAAATCCCGTTGAGTGCCACCGGAGTTGTACCAGGTATTTCAACACCACCCGTTTATATAGACCTAATGCATCTGCGAACGATGCAGCTTCGCGTATTGTAGTACCGGATTCACAAGACCACGCGCGCTGTCTATTGCAATCTGGGCTTGAGTCGGTGCAGTGCCCGGACAAATGGTCATACGAGTCACCACTTCGCATAGTGGCCTCAGCCATCTTCCAACTCTTGGTCCTGGATATCTTACATTCTCTCTGATCACATATCCACATGTTGCCTCGATATGTAGATATATTATCAGAGAGGATGTAGTAGGGTTATTTGTGATATATGTCCTGGAACTTTTCCTAATCCACCCAGGACCTTACCATACTTCTAATATTCCTTCCAGGTTCCTGGAGATTCGTGAAGGTGAGCACATGCCATCCGGTGTGTACTTTGCACCTCTCTGCCGACCACTTGCGAAGTCACGGATCCGTCCCCACCCACGATCTGTGTCTGTTCTTGGTCCTACTCCTATGGCTGACATTGCAGGTCCGCTGGAATCTGGCAAGGCGGGGACTCAGTTCCTTGTCAAGACAGGCTCAGTTAGTCGGACCGACGGGGATCATTCAACCAAGGCACACTGCTTGGATGCTCAGGACACGTGTGGGGGAGATCTAAGTCGATCGTCGCCAACACTGGCAGACTTGGTCTTGGTGTATCCGGGACCCGCGAAGTTGCGTTGTTAGCAGAGTTTTCTGGAAGCACGAAGATTTTGCTTATGTCTCCTACAATTTGACGCAATCTCGGTAGGTACAAGGAGTCGATACAGCGAGTTTTGTTATATCAACGTCGACGGCTTGTCGGCCTTACCGGGGCGCCAATTCGTTCATGGTCTCGTCATTTGGATGAAGTGACCATGTATGATTCCAGCTAACCGAGATATGGCGTATCGGCGAGGAGTTATGGTTTAGTGGCGAAAATGACGCGACGTTCGTTTGGAGATTAGGAGTCCCGTGGCTAGATGCTTAGGTTGGAGCGATGTTTTCGTGGGAATCTACTTGTAGGATTGTTTGCAGCCAAAAATCCTTTACTGCAGAAGGGATCAGAAAAACTGATTGGTCACTCGCAAAGAACAACATCTCGTCCTACTACTAGTCCGGTCCGAAATACGAAGCAGGCGAAGAAGCACGGAAATTGGTAGTCTTCGTGCCACATGTCGTAAATCCATCCTGAGAGAAAACCCTACTGTACCTCTAACACGGGGTGAGCTTCTGGGCCCCTTCCCAGTTCGTCACTCTCAGACCGGGGAGCACAAGCAACCCAACGCAACTCACCGACGAACTTTGGAACCCCCACTGACAACCGTGTAGTACCTGACATCTTGTCGCCCTCAAATCAAGAGGACCTACCGTCGGTTCTCCCGCTATTAGTATGTACATCAATTGAGATACATCTCCGAGAATACTCACCCCCCAATGCGGTGGTCAAAGCCACCGCAAGTCCCAATCTCATGCAATATCCTCATAGACTTGCACACTAGTAAACATTGAAGTGTCGTCAATGCTAAGTCGGTGAGGAATTGGCAGGGCTAAGATCTGATCTCCACCAACCTCGAAGCCTGAAAGATGTACATATCACGACCTAATATCCGTGACGCGCCGATGATCCTTTTGGTAGCTGGATAAATGTTAAGTTGCGTTGGATGGCTGGATGGCTGTGAACGCCCATTTACAATGACCACATACCGCAGCCTCACTTCGCAAAATCCATTACAGCGGACCAGTATCAACGAAAGAAGTTAAGTACTGTCAAGCTGAACTAGGGTTTATCGCCCACGGCTCACCTGAGCGCCATATCATTGCTACTCTCTTCCCACTTTGGCATCTTCAATGGGCACGGCATGGCATGTACTTATGTAAAGACGGGTGTGAGCAAGAGACTGACCATGAAGTTGATCAATTTCATCGGACAATGACAGACCCCGGTATCATGGTAGTGTCAGATACCGAACAGGGCAAACTTCAATCATCTTCGTCATCTTTCTGTTAAATGTGAACTACGCGGCCCTAACAGTGGGCCGAGCTTCTGGAAAGACAGATCGTACTAACGGTGTTTCCGAGTCCTGTGACAGAGGAGATTTCTCTACCAAGTGAGCGATCAAGGGAAGGAAAAAAGAGCGTGTAGGTAGGGTCTTGAGGAATCGCCGCAATAGGGCTTATGGTCATCCAAGTACACCCTTTCCATCATATCAAAGGGTCATGTCAGCTGACACCTGTTGTCGTAATTCAGCCAACACCTCCCGACTCCCTGTTAATCTATTAACGGCGAGACACCTCCTGCAACCCTACTCACCTCCCAGGTTGCAACCGATCGAGCACTGTATAGATGCTGATAAGAAGCACATCGGCACTAAACTGCACAAGGCATTCTAGAACGAATGCGAATGTAGGTCAGACACCGCTGATTGGGCTTCATATTATCCTGAAGGTATGAACAGTATTCGCGGGGGCCCATGCCAATAGGTGCCCGCCCAAATGAAACTCCGCGCAAAACAGAAGACAATGGAATGGAACAGGGGCTATACACCAACTACATCGCATATTCTTTCCAGGACTGGGACACTACAGTGATATTTTTTGCATAGAACATGGGGAGTCAAATATACAAGACGAAATTTCCAGATCCCGAGTATTGACAATGATGCTTTTCGTAACTCCAATACAATCCTCGCTGTGGCGAGAAATCAAATCACAAGTACTGAGAAACGGGTATACAGAGGGGCAGTACTGATGGGTCGTCAAGTTGTTTATGATGTGGCCGTCGGGGCCCTTGCATGCCATTCTAAGCGGTCTGGGATACAGTTAAATGATCTGCGTGAGTCATCGCTGAAAATCGGGCATACTCACGTTTCCCGCGGGCACAGGTGGAGGAAGCGGAGGTGGAGGTGGAGGTGGAGGTGGAGGTGGGGGTGGGGTGGGGTGGGGGTGGGGGCTGTAGTGGTGGGATCACTGCTCCCTGTAATGAATATGTATTTCTGCATAGCTGCTTGAGATACACGAAACCAAAAGTGAAATGTCCTACGAGTTACGACCCTGATAGTGTTCGGGTCGTGATTGCGATCGTGCATCGTTACGAGATTGACGAGGAGCAGTAGCCTTCTGAGCGTTGTTCGACATGACTCAAACTAGGGACTCACCCATGGGGCACTGACTCTTAAATACCAATTCCAACCCTGGGGAAAGATAATAACGACTGGTTCAAAGGAACTAGTTGCAGGTGCCTTTTCATCAGATCTTCGATTCGTCTGTGGAGCGTGTCGAGGGACCGGGAGGTGCATGTAAGGGTAGGAAGTCGGGACTACCATCCCGCCGCAGGGAAGGCGCCTCAGAAGTCAAGATATTATCAGGCCAAATAGTGCATGGTTCCGGACCCAAATGAGGACCGTCATGCAGTATGACCCTTGAAGGCATGATTTATTATGAAATAGGGCATCCTTCTGTGATGAGACCACACTCCACAATCGGATTATTTTGCTAAATGACGGTAGTTTTGACAGGTGGGATTGCCATGCGTTCCCATCCAAAGTCGGCTGTTACACATATCCGCACGTTCCTCGACTCGTTCCTAATGTCGGTCGCTGTCCACCCACATAGCTAATGATTAATTTGATCCTTGCCTTTACTGAGGAGGGTTACGTGATCTTCGCAGTTCATCTTCATCATGCACCTGCCATCCATCACAAGGAGCAGCAGCACACCTTCCTTGAGTGCGAAAGGGGCTCGCAACTAGGTCTACCCCCGCAGCACCCTGCTAAGCCTTACCTTCATTTCCGTTGCGTAAATTCAATTATTCCCAACCACGCTGTCGACGGCTGGTTGGTGGTTGCGATGTCTTTCGATGACAAAAATGACCGAGACTCTTTTGGGGTGACGAGGCTCGTCGTGGCAGGTAAAAACGGCATCCTGTCCGGTAATGCCAGGGCTCTGACATTTCATTTCGCTGCTCACATAGGTCAGAACGGGGCATCTTCTCGCAAGATTCTCTGCAGCCAGGACTCCTCCGCTATGGAAAGCGATCGAAACACCACAACGACCCATTTCACTGTAACGCGAGGCTCGGACGCGCGATTGGCAAACGAGCAATCGAGAGAAATAATAGTCATTGTGCCACATGTCGTAAACTGGTCCTGGGAGAACGCCTAACCTGCACCCTAACCCAACATGCGCGTCTGGTCCATTCCCTGGTTCGTCGCCATCAGGTCCTTGCAGCATGGAGGTTCACGTCACTCACGTGGTCAATGGTGTGCTATCTCCCATTTCGTCGCTCCCACATCTACGGTCAGTCTTACCTACTATCAAGTGGTAATACGTACGTGGGTTGATTGATTCAAGCAGTGACATTTCCGGCAACATTCACAAAGGAACTCACTCATCCAGTTATGATGAAAGAGATCCATCTCACGCAGCATCCTCACAGATTGCACACTGAGCGTCGAAATTTCGTCAATGTTCAATCAGTGGGGAATCCGCAGAGGTGAGGATATTGCGCCGGCTTCGACCCCACGAGAAGGCTCTGTGGTAATCGTCGAGCAGTTTGTAACGCAATATCTCTGTTTTCAGTTATCTGAACGACGCATGACCGGCGATCGTTTGCAGCCGGACAGCGCGAAGTCACGGGGAAGAAAGTCCGCCTATTTACGACCGATGTGTACTCCCATTCTGCGGGCAATCTATTGCGAGGGGCCAGCATCAGCGAAAGAAGTTAATTACTGCCAATCCAAATCACGATGTTTATCGTCCAATGGAAACTTACCTGCGGCTGATATCATTGCTATTACCTTCCCACCCCTACACTAAACGCCTCAAAAAGAAGAGATAGACGTACCCGCGACGCGTCACTGTTCAAAATGCGAATGTACAAGAGAAGGATTTGCCATCTATGCTTCTGGTTTGATCGGGCGAATCAAGTCCTTGATGCTACGGCAGCACAGACTGAGCAAAGCGACTTTGATCACCATCTTGGAGTAGCGCTTTGAAAGGTTTCGGCGCCTTTGCAAATTCGGTGGCAGTGCACAGGATCTCGGCGAGCCACGAAGTAACCGAACGCAACAACGAAGGATTCAAAACGGTACAGCTGACATCTCGATGACCTGCGGCAGACGCAACACACTGCGAAAGGTATGTGGCTGTCTTGGCATCATATCAAAGAAATCTGTCAGCTGGGACTCACTATCGTAGTTCGTTATATATAGCCATCCTGATCTCTCCTTGGTGGTGCTAAACATCGAAAACAGGCATATCGGCGCAGAGCAACTTCACGACACGTCTCCAAGTTCATGACGCTGACTGAACGTTGGACTACTAGCTGACCAGAAATTGTGAGGGTCGGGCGATGATGCAAAGCAAGACAACAAGCGGAGCCGACTGTGAAAGTGAGTCAGTCAGAGAGCCCGAATTTTTTAACTCCGCGTGAATACGTGAAAGACGACTGCGGAACAGACCAAAGTACTTCTGTGGGCGGTGTATATTTTACATCACGGAGTTGTTTTAATGTACATGAGAGCTGAAATCGCCGGATCCTAGCCATCGGCGTGAAAGCTAATAAAACATCGAAGCAAACAGGGTACATGGTAAGAAATATGCACGACGTAGCATCAAGCTTCAAGTCGTGTTTAGTTCCACCGCAGGGGATTGCGGTAAGCAAGTCATGTCACCCCTAAGGGTTCTAGAGTACAATCAGGCGCCTTGCACGGGATGTTCACGGCCATTCGTACTCACCTGCCCTGTAGCCGGAGCCTGTGTGCCCAACGCATTCCCTAACGTCTGAGATGTTCTATTTGTGTAGCTCTATGAGAAGGATGACCACGCAGGGCAACAAATAACATGTCCTACCGGTTTTGGTGAATGTAGTGTTCAGGGGATTGGGAAGGTACTGGAGCCTGAGTGTTGCTTGACATGCTTGGACTGAATGCTCACCACTCTGCAATTACCATGGTTCTTAAATACCATCTAAAGCTTGCGGGGCGATTGAGAATGGCTGGTTGAAAGGATCTAGTCATACGCGCCTTCTCCACGATCCGGGACCACGTAGAAAACTCGTGTGAGACCAGAAGATGCCATCAGCGGGGAAGACACCTAACAAGAAACAGGCGGGTTGCGCAGCTTATCTGACCCATGCTCACCTCCCGATATGGTTCATGGATACAACCCTGAGAATGTGATGGTCTCGTAAAAAAGAAACAGAGATGAAGGAAGTGTCCTCCAATAGCATTATTGATGAAAGTTTCGGCCCGCATGAGGGACTTGTTCCCCCAGTTGGTTCCCAGCGTCCATTCCAGGAATCTCGACGCGTACTTGGGGACGGCCGTTGTTCCTCTACACATAGGGACGAATTGCACAACCACTTATTCCAAAGGAACACACACGATATACTTGAGGCCCCCTAATATTGCGAGATCTCTGCAAGCCCGTTTTCCTGAAACGAAAAGGAGATGTGCCTAGCACACAACGCGGTTCGAGCAAGGAGCTGACCCTGATCTCTTCCGCCAGTGACCTTAAATGGTCTTTCCCAGAAGGGCAAGACCGGTCAGCCAACTTCTCGACCTTTTGCCAAAAATTGTGCGGGGATGCATTTTCCCACGATTTTTGGCCTTGCGTGGAGAGGTCCTTCACGTGCTAACGAACATTATTGAGAATTGTCGCGACCGGTCATTGCAGCGTAGAACCCATCCGAGTATGTTGTTAGCAAGGGCATCATGGCAAAAGAGAGGCAATTCACGGGCAGAAGTAAGCACATCCAACTGTCATTGACGAGGTAGCTATATCGCTCGCAGCTCACTCGGTCTGCCAGTCACCTTTAATGTCCTTATCTTCGCCTGCTTGCTTGGCAAATGTGGCTGAAGTCGCATAATAGGACGACTGCCTCCGAAAGCAAAGTAAACTTTGATTTAATAGTCGAAGGCGGCTGTTGTCTATTCTCCGTCCGTCTTTTACGCAACACGGAATGTGGATATATCATATGACCTGCCAGGAATCCGGGAAAGAAAGGAGGAGATCACCGATAGGACTATTTTGTTTTCTGGGTTTGCAATAGCTGACTGCTGCTCTGACCAGTGCAGCAGAACCAGGAATAGCCAAGGAGAAGTCTGACGAAAAACACGAGTGTAGTGGATGGCAATAAAAGGATATGGGTGTGACTTACATGCACATACAATTTGCAAAGCGGTGTCAACCAACGAAGACCCTGAGATTGATATCAGCTGACGCTTCAAGAAGTTCGCTCGGTAAAAAAAATGACAGCAACATTGCTTGCTAGGGCGCAATGCGACGAAGAACACTCGTGTAGGTGTTGCGTACCAGAAGAGGGAAATAGTGCAATAGAAAACAAAAAGAAAGAAAGATCGGACCGTCGCGGGAGAGAATCTCAATATTGCGATCGCCCTAGAAACTCCAACGCCTGAAGTATGTATGCCGCGCAGGGCGGTAGGGCAGTAGGGGACCCACGAAACACACTTAAAATCCTTACACACGATCGACAACTTCTCGACTGTACACGAGATGTAATATGAAGCGAGAAGAACGACAAGGACAACCTGAAAGATGCAAGTAGTCAGCAATGAGGCTGTTGGCCAAAGCGATGCAACGGGCGCTAGTTGGCTGAGCACTGGTAGGGGACAACAACCCTTGACGTCATCCAGCTCGGTGCATACCGAGCACTGCCTTTCGTGAGGGACTTGTTACCGGCTTATACCATGAGTTTTGCATAAATCCGTGATGCAGAGTAGGACTTTGCCAATGATGTTATCTACATACAGAACATCAGGCAAGGACACGTCGATGGTTCGACAAGAACAAACTAACCAGACACAGTATTTGTAAAGATGTAACAGTTAGTAGCTGACCTGCGCAGGATACCGATACCAGAAAAAGAGGGAAGGGTGGGAACCATAAGAGGAGCGTCGGGTGGAAGGCAGCACTTACCACCTTGGTGACTTTGGCGAATGGAATGTGGGAAGCACACAAGATACAGTTCATTTCGCAACAGCGGTAAATCGAGCGAGGGTTGAATGGAGGGAACGTACGTCTAAGGTGACCGAAAAGGATTATGGATGCAGAAAACTTGACCGTCGCTTCACGGAATAGGTGGCGGTGTCGGACCGACAACGGTGGAAAAGAATCTCCAGCCACTAATTAGTGGACACACATCAGCCATTGTTTGATAGGTCTACGGGGTTGTCCTGCTGCACGGGGTCACAAAGAGAAAGAAAAAAGAACAAGAAAAAAACCGACCAGATCCAGAGTTTTTCTCATAGGCTAAGTGGTGACCTTACCCCAACTCAGAGGATTGGCACATAAGTACCAGATCCATCACTACAACAGCCCTTATTAGCCAAGCGGTAGATCGGGTACAACAACCTCATGAGAAAGATTCCTCTTGTTTCCGGCGTGGCAGTGCCGGCGACGGGCCGTTCCGGTAGCGAGTCATGACTCTTGTTGCACACAACTTGTACATACTAATAGCGATTGTACATCTCTTGATATCGCTGACTTCGACCCTGGCACACACCACCGTCTGGCGATGAGACGTCTGGAAGATGAACTCGAGCACGAGTCAGAACGCGAGCCGAAGCGCATTAAATCTTCTTCCCCCGAGGACGCGTGGGCGTCAGTGTCGAGGGCCAGAGGAATCATCGGAAACAATGTGGTTCACTCAGGTGATGACGGTGACATAGAACTTGTTCATGATGACAAGGACGCAAAAGACACACACTGCTCCGATTCTGTAGAAAATGGCGGAGAACTTGGGTTTGAATGGGAAGAGCATTGCACAATCTGTCTTCAACCCTTTCTAGACAGGGCGATTATCCCTACCTGTGCTCACGAGTTTTGTTTCGAATGCATTTTGCTATGGGCTGGTGAGTGGACCGTCCCTCCGCATTCTCCTGTTTTCTTCTCTCTTCTCCACTCTTCTTTTGCCTTTCTCTTTTGTTTGACCCCTCAGCCCAGTGCTGATATACAGTATTGAACCATCACAGAACAATCCCGTAAATGCCCACTCTGTAACCGTCCATTCGACTCCTCGTCCAGCACAGACACCGGAGGATCCTATCTCATACACCATATCCGCTCGAAATACGACTATCAAAAATATTACCTTCCACCTCGACCCTCATCTCCCGCTCCCTCCGGTCCAGCTGTAGAGGCTGGCTTAGACCTAGGTGAAAGGAGCCAGCTTCAGAGAACTATCAGGAGACGCAGAGAACGACAATGGGGAAGTAGGAGGGCCCCTCAGGAGCAGGAACAAGAACGCGCAGAAGAACAATTAGAACAGGCGATTGCGAGGAGGAGGTGGGTGTATGAGTGGGGATTGTATGCTAAGGTATACTACAACGCCGTGCCGTCTTTCTTATTCTTATGTTGTACACATTTCTCTGCAAACGCTTCCCCTTCCCAGCACGTCGCTTCCAATCGACACACTCGATACCGACCATTCCCGACACCCTCACAGTTCGCCTCGTCTCCAGGTTTAATCAGTAGAATGATGATGTGGCTGAGACGCGAACTCAGGGTGTGGCCTAACCTGGATGTTGAGGTGCGTGAGTGCCCGCTTTTTTTGGATCATACGTTCCCTCATATGGATTTCTTGCCAACTCTAAACTCCCGTGCGCTGGAAAACCGAGCAGTTCCTCACAATGTTCACAATCTCCCTTATGAAATCCGTTGACATCCGGTCCGAATCAGCTATCAAACTTCTCGCTGAGTTTCTGGACATGGACGAGCTATACGTGGAGGGTGCCCGTCATCCCAACGCCGAGCACTTCGCACATGGTAAGCTTCAGTTGGCGCTGGTTTTTATAAACACCTAAATTAATTATGTGTCTAAGAGATATATTGCTACCTCCGAAGTCCGTACCGGGATCTGGTGATATATGACCAGATAGTGCAGGTATATACCCGTATTTTGCTCGCGCTCGTGCGACTAGTGATCCTTACAACAAATTTAGTACGACACCCCGCCCAATCTGCCTTCGCCCCACCGCATTGAAGCAGGAAATCGGTGGACTGACGACTCCCCTCGGTATCATTCGTACCGCCGGCATCGGTCTCGGTCCCGTTCTTGTTCCCGGTCCCGGTCTAGCTCTCGTTCCCGAGGTCGACTCCACTCGCAACCGCATCGGGAACAGCGTGCCGGCACACATCCAGATGCTAGGCAACGCAGACATAGCTCCTCAGAGTCGAACCAATACTGGGAAGATGAGCACGATGAAGACCGCAGTGCGTCGTCTTCAGGTAGGGATCCTGCACTACACTCGCCCGCATCTGCTAGGGTTGGTAGCGCTAACATCGGCAATTCACCTCGTCTTCACTCGTTTCGTGAACCGAAAGCGGAGGAGTCCCACTGTACACGTGATAAGGAGCACGTGCGAACGCCTGATTCGAAGACATGTCCCAGTACACGTCCATCTGCGCTGGCTGTGCGCGCCAACGATTTCATTGACGAAACTTTCTTACCAAGCAAACCTGATTTAAACGCGGATCCTTCAATTCAGTTGGCGATAAGGGATAGAGGAGATGTCAAAGGGAAACGTAAGGAGATAGTCACCCCATCATATCCAGCGACTGAAGAAGCTGTCGACGGCAAGGCACGGGAAAAAGGAACACAAAGAACAGGCCTAGAAAAGGAAAAAGAAGTTCCGAGTAGAGGAAGCTCAGCAATGATGTTCAGCGCCGGTACTACCAGAACCAACGACATGACCCTCGTAGATTCATCGTCTTGCTTGGCGAAGGAAGCTGTGCATACCTCCACGGACAATGTATCAGCAATGGCATACGCACCCACGATTTGCAACCTTCCCACATCGACGAATAACACGAGAGTCCATGAACAAGAGCATTGCCAGACCGCTTTGCCGATTAAAGGTCCCCCGCGTGAACTTAGTGACAAGAGCCTCTCCAGGGGGTTGCGTGGCACGCTGCGGGAGTGCGTCCTAGCCCACTTGCGGCACCCCCCTCGACGGCGTGACGGCCCTGTTCGGCCCCTGAAAGACGGGCCAGGTGGTCGTGACCCGCAATTGGGAGTATGTAGTGCTGCTGCAACGATGTCTCGGAAACGTCTTGTGCGAGAGGGAGACGCTAGCATGCCACCTTCGCTGCTTGTGCCTTCGTCCAACTCTCCTGTTCCATCTTCTCGCTCGTCTGCTCTAGAACGTCCCGAGGATGAGAAAAAAGGTCGAGAGACACACTTTCATGGTGCATCGAGTTCTCGCTGCCATCCCACAGAGCCCAGCACGAACGCGAAATCTCCTGTCGCCGCGGAGGGCTCCGTCGCAGACATTGCGCAAGCACTGGCTCTCGTAGGCCCGTCGGAGGCTTCAGATATGCGCTCAGTGTTGTTGCGAAGGACTAGAGGAGGAACAGAAGCAACTTTTACTTAACAGGCCGAGGTCGAAGGCATCATCATCCTCCCAGTTGCTTGGAATGCTCCTCCTCCCGCCCGTCGAACTCATGACGAATAGCAGGAGTTCCTCCACTTCTTGAGCGATTTGATCCCGACACAGCGTTTGCGGAGCTGGCTTAAGAGCGCAGAGAGAGGGAAAGTTCGGGGAAACCCTTGCTACACCTTGCTAATTCATAAGTTCAGCTCATCCACTTTGTTTACTTGCGAGGTAGCGCACCACGTCTTGTACGTAACGTAACGTACTGACATATTCACACCGATTTCAGAAGACTCCTGTCAGCTTTGATAATTCCGCCGACCCGACGTCACGCCATCCTTGAAAAGCGTGCGGTACGCAGGGGTACTAAGCAAATAAACTCGTGCATGAACGAGATCTACCGTATCTCGTGTATCTCTCCGTTTCGCAGCTAAGTCGGTTCCCCGCGTAATATGTGCGGGCCAAGGCTGTCATGGTCTGTCATGTACTGGAATATCTCGTAGGGTACCTGCCATCATGACATACGGACACGTGGTGAGGTCGTTCCAGGTGCTACGTCATCCTGTACCCCAGCCTTCGGCGGCGGTCATACGTAGGGTCGTACACGCGTGACAGAGTGTGGTGCTGGGACAAATGCCTTCCTACTCACGATCGTCGATCGGATTGCCATCATCCTCCAGCCGTGCGTCCGTCGTCATGTCCAACGTTATTATCTAGCCTTGTAGGGCCTACATGGCCATGAGGTCAGCGCCTCAATGGAACTTATCGGAGTCTAACCTAGTCAGTCCCGACCGCTAATGCATGCCATCAGAACGATAACCTAACCCGTTCGTCTGGTGGGGACGAGCACATGATGAGTACATTCGCAAAGATCACTCAGATTTGAACACAACAGAAGCCGAGCGAATAAAAAAAGATACAACGAACCATTCGCACGTCTCTACTTGAGGCGCGGCCCGTCGAGTTATTCCCGCACTCGCCTCAACCCTGTTCCTAGTCCGTTCTTTCAAATGATAAATACACTCGATATGTACGCTATATGTAATGTATGTATTGAGAAGGGCATTAACACTGCAAGGTGCTCGGAAACTTCTATCTGCTCCACCGGACAATCTTGCATGTGAGGTGTAGACGCGAGCATACACCTAATCTCGATAAAACAGGTGAGGTAATTAGGGCGGCAAATAAGGGAAGCAGTAATTGGTTTATCAGTATTGTTTTGGAGGATCAAGGGGTGCGCGATCGAACTAGAACTCAAGTAGATGGTGGGATTCAAGGGATTACGGAGCTGACTTGAAACTGATGCGTTGCGATGACGATGGAGGTAAGTGGGAAGGACGAGTGACTTGTAGGGAACGCTTCCACTCGCTGTAGTGCAGGTACTGGAAATGCCAGGATCCGGATATAACTGCTGGGTAGTAAATCGTCAAGGTGGAAAGAAAGTGTGGGGAACACCCTCACCTGCACGCGTAACCACTCCACGGAAGGAAACAGAGACAAAAAAAAGGAATGAGGGTCGCCACCGGTATGCATAAATTCTGTATGTGTGAAAGGTTTGGTTGTTAAGAACGGATGCATTATAGTATTGTAAAGTGGGCGATAATAATAATAGCGGAACATGCCAGTTAGTCATAGGAATGCAAGAAAAAACAACAGAAGAATAGTGTAACAGCGCAAATATGAATGGCTTAGAACCATTGGATATTACGATAGGTTTAGGGAGTCAGTAAAGGATAGATAGATTCAGGATGCACTTCCATGGCAATGAGTATGACATCCAAAATATATGGGGTGAAAAGATAGCAGCGACCGATTACCCCTGCTTTCCCCCCTCGTTCGGGGTCGTTTGCCGCCGATACGGAAGAGAGTGAGGCGTCGTTGGTGACAGAATATGAAAGCGCTGCTGTTCCCTGCCACTCGCGCCAGGGACCGCAAACGATCGCGATATCGGAACCGAGGACGAGGGAATTGGAGCGCCCACTGAGAGCGAATGTTGATGCATGCCTCCACCGATACCGGGGGCACGGGACGACGACGTCGCAGGTGACGGCCCAGGTGAAAGGGCACGACGTTCACTACCAACACGTTCACCCGATGGAAACCCGCCAAACGAAGAGAAGCTCTGTCTAGCTGGACGAGGATAGTACGCACTAGTGCTCACCGACGGCGAAGACGACACGGGGCCCCCAATCCAGGACGAAAAATTGGGTCGAGGCTGTGGTGTAAACGCCCGTGGATCCCACTGGGGCTGAGGCTGCAACGTAAATGGTGCTGGGATATCTGCCAGCCTCGACCCTGCAGCTACAGTGCCGCTGCTCCTGCCAGTACCCTGGACGTTTACTGGTAGCTGGGAGGGCGATGCTAAAGGCCCAGTACGCGATGGAAATGGCCTCACTGCCGAGATGTTAGGACCCGTAGGACCGCCGCCGCTGGTGGAACTGGGGCTATGGCTGTTGCGCTGCTGTGATTGCTGCAGTGGACGATCCCAACTGCTGATATTGACCGGTGGAAGAACCCTCCCTGTACTACGAGAGCCAGACAACGAAGCACCTGCATCTGTATCGTCCAGTTCGAAAGCCTGCTGCAACGACAATGATGCGTCTCTTGTAAGAGGTGTGGTGAGGATGACAGGAACACGAGGCGTCATCCCAGGGGTCCCACCATGCACCACGGACTCGCGGGAGGGCTGCGAGTGAGGCGGGCGTGAAACGTGAGATGGCTGTAGATGCACTTCTGTGGGCAAACCTTGAATACTCGAAGAAGGAAAGTGCGCTGCCTCCCATTCTAGGGCGGATGTAGGGGGGCGATGCTGATACGATGGAGAGCTAGCGGGCCACCCAGACCTTGCTACGGGAACGACGCTCGATACACTGGGACCACTGGCAAGTGAAACATCCGAAGATAAAGACAATGGCGGCGGCGGGGACGGTTGGGAGTGTGATACGTTGGTGCTGCTTCGCGGGGGGGTAAAAGTGGAGGACGCCGAGGGAGCTGAGGTACTCGTGTTTGGCAATGACCCCGAAGACGAGCCCGAAGCCGACTGGGCAGGTTGTGAAAGATGCGCAGATTCCCCGCCAGTTGCGCTGCCACCTTGTGGTCGCCGAGATTTTTGCCTTTGATTCTGATAAGAGAAAGAGAGAGAGAGAAACATGAATACAACGGTGGGGGAAAAAAAGGGTTGAAAACCCACTTGGAACCATATCTACGCCACGTGGAAAAGGGGGTCAGGATTGCAAAAAATGAAAAATTTGGATAGTTAGCACGGCACACTCGAGGCACAGTCAGTTGGATGACAGATACCTGCACTTTGCGAGCACTGAGCCCGATCTGCCGGCCAACTTCTTCGCGCATAGCAGTAGTAGGGAATCGTGACTAGTCAACACGGTCAGGGTAGAATACTATAGCCTGAAAACACTTAATCCAAGCAAAAACCCACCTTAGCGAGCAGCGCATGGAGTACGGCAGATTGATGTGGAGTCGTCAAAGTGCGTGTACGCTTCTTCTTAGGAGGCGGCTCGGCGTGGGCAGTGGAGGATATCTCGAACTGCTGGCTGCGCTCAGGCTCGATTTCGTCGCCAACCATGCCGCTGTGGGAATGAGAGGACTCGGAAGAAGAAGAGGCTCGCTCGGCAGCATCCATATCTGCAGCGGATCGCTTCAGGCCGGTGCGTGGTCTTTTAGACAAGCGCTTGGTACTGTTGCTTACGTCTTCTTCGCTGAGAAGGGAAGTACCCTGGCTAGTGATGGAAATGAAGGGGTGGATGGGATCTGTGGTTGCGGTAATAGGCTCAGTTGATGAACTCTGAAGAATGGAAGACGAATCGCCTCGGATATGACGTGGCTGCTGCGTTTGGGCGTCGTGGTGGGTCAGGTGCTGTGATGATGATGCCGATGCTCGAGTGTCGTGCGTCGAAGGGTGTTGTTTGAGGACTCTTCGGCGGGGCTCTGCCTGGTGGGGTGGATGACATCCAGTGGATATATAACGGGTTAACCAATAAACAAAGAAGAGGGCAACAAACGAGCGTGCAGCGATCTCAATTTGGGCTGAAGGCCTGTGTTCAAAGCATCAACTACACCGGCAATGTGCGAGGGGAAAATATAACGAGAGGGTAAAAATGAAAAGGATATCTAGTAATTGGACCCAGAGCAAAATGGAGAGAGGAACCAAAGGACGGGGTCAAATGTGACCCGTAGTGCGTCCCGGGAAAAATGAACGCTATGGGCGTGTGTCCATTAGCGCGCCTTCGGGGTGATAGGTAGTAATAAAGAATACCTCAAATAGTCTGGCAAAACAGTCCATCGGAATCTGCATGCTTACCGAGAGATCTCGCACTGCTTCCGGTCAATCTGGCGGGCTGTCAAGCCTATAGTGCAATATCTATCAAGATTTCCTAATATGGAGGGCGACTTTATACACATGCTTTCGCATTTGCACGGCAACAAAACGTCAGTACGATCCAGACTAGCTCAAGGAATTCATGTGCGCCGTCGCAAGGTGCGCCAGTAGCATTTTCGTTTCCGAAATGTGGAAGGCAAATTTGCAGCTGGGCCCAGTTCAGTAGGTTGAAGGAGGTCACCAAATGCGTCACTCCATGTGCCAACTTTGTTCGTCAGTGTGATTAGTCCATGACAAAAGGATTACGTATGATTCCTCCAGGAACCATGCCAAATTCTTGTCAAGCGAAATTAAATCGGAAAATTCATTCAAGATTCGGTTTGCTCTGTTCGTCAGAGCTTGACTGGTAAAGACGAGGACGGCATTAATATTATTACCAGTGCGCGTACGGGATGGAAGCGGTAATAGCATTTTCAGCCGAAATAATACCACGCACTGCGACTGCCAGCCTCCGCGCAGGTGCGGCGCCGTCTTCTCCCCAACAATCTTCATTGTCGAAAAAGCGATGCATCATTCATGATGATCGTTCGCCCAAATTTCCGGAACCAGCAAAACGCAGCAGTCCATACACCGAAATCGGTGATGGTTGCACACAAATAAATAAATGGCGTTCTGGTGTGTTCATTCATGATTAATTGATAGATGGCCTCGCAAGGTCAAGATTCCGCCGAATTGGGACCTGTTTTTGTATGTCCATAATAATTGGCGGAAAGGCTCGGAAAGCCCACGCAGCGCTGACGACCGCGGTAGGTGAGGGAGGTGGAATAATAATTCCTAGAAACTGACGCACTAAGGGGCAAACTTCATCTTTTTCGTGAGATATTACGATGTTACACGAGGACGCTATGCTCAAGTAAGTAGGAATGGTGGCACTACGCCGATCAAACTTATCACCAACCTCGCCGCCAGAAAAGGCATTGGAGCAACGCGGCTCGACGGGATTACGGCCCCACCGCGTGGAACGGGGTGGAAGGGGTCACCATTAATGTGGTCACCCGTCAAGTTGATAAGTTGACAGATAAAATTACCCTAAATTACTCATTGCTTCTCTGCGCCCGAAATGCGAAATGAAACGTTTACGGATGGAGATCACATCCAAATACACTTTGACGTTCGGTGGAATGTTCGGACGACCGTATGTCATAGAAGACTACTCAGCAACAAGAGGGGTGGAAAAGCACCTGCCACAAAATGGGTGCGACGAGGGTTGGATGCATCATCCTGTCTTGGAAATTCAAGCTCAAGGTTTGCCAGGACACAATGAAACGATTCAAGCGGAGTTCAAACCTTCGTCCACCCTTTACAGCCCGTCACCCGTTAAAGTATGTGTGGCTCCCCCGTAAGTATGGAGCTCCTCAACAATTCTAATAGTGCACAGTTTCCGCGAGGGAAACTACACACCCACCGTTTTCTCCATGACTATCCAACATGCCGAGATGTCAGCCTCAGTCAGGACGTGTGGATGCAATCTGCCACAATATGAAGCCTAGACATCCAACAAGTTTTCAATGACACATCGACGTTTATTCATCATCCCATCATCCACCCATCTTTCACGTCACGCGCTTGCATGGTGTACCCCTTAGCACTTGATGGGTATGTATTTATTTATATAAATCTTGAGAGCGCTATATGTCAGTGTATGTCCATGTATTGTATGTGCTATCTCGTGAATAACATATCTGTTCCCAGCTCAAGCATCGTTGTTTCGTTAGATTCTCACTGTCACGATTGAGCGGAGACACCCTCCTTAGTACATGCCGACATCGTAAAGTGCAAGATTGAAGCTAATAACCGATCACTAAGCCAGACTAAGCCCAACCGCGAGTTTTACAAACCTAAGACAGTCTAAGCTATACCAGGTCGCAAGTTCCAATCCTTCGGGCCCTTGCGAGCTCCTGTATAGTCCACGATAACCTTGCCAGGGCCGCGCCATGCTACCAATCCCAATTTCGGATTCGCGAACTGGGAAGTAGCGTGAGTGCCACGTAGTAGGTGTCAATCACTGACGTCTCACGCCAAGGACGCTGTTCGATTCTGAAGTGTATTCTCAATGCCGGGAATTGACACACGATGTACTGGTTCTTTGCAGGGCATTGCTGGTGCTAACGTGGTTGCCATGCCCCACGTGTACATGGGTTTAATATACTTCTGTGCCTACTCACGTTGTGTGTAGGTCGCTGGAGATGAGTGCTCGCGTCGTGTGGTCATTGCAGATCACACCGCAAAGTCCTCAGAAAGGCCAATGGAAGACAGTATGGTCCATACGAACAAGCTCTGGGCCCGACAGCGACCCGACAGCATTGTGCCATCATACGAGTTGTGCAGCATACAATTCAATATGTATTTTCAGAATCGTAAGCAAATTACGAATGGGACTGGCAATCTAACTAGGCTCCGCTAAGGCAATTATCAACCACCCAGGTGAACGATGTGACTTTTACCGTTCCGGGGGGGGTGGAGCTAAAAGCGTCCATACTGATCTTTTTCCTTGCTCCCTTTTCTATTCTCCTGCGCTACCGAGTAAGTTATTTGAAGCGTACGTTACAAGTTCGCAATGCGGCGCTACCGGACCAACTGATACGGTTTGGTATTGTAGGAAACCATTGTCGGGGCGAGTGCTGCCCACCGTAGCAATAATGCCTCTTTACTGGCCTCCCTTGACACGCGTGGCGAGTGATCACGGGCTATGACATGACTTCCGCTGGACGCGACGCTATCACGTGTGCAGGTTCGGGGTCTCGGCCGCTCTTCCCTCCACCCCAAGGGTCTCAGGGTATCAGCTTCGTGATCAAGAGCACCAGAGCGCGTCAGCCGATTACCTGAGAGTGCTTACACGTTACGTTCCGAACCCTCCACACGTAAGTACCTTGCAGAGTGCTCGGATTACATTCATCTGTTCGGGTTCACTTTCCCAACGGGTCCATGTATTAATATCCTGGATCTGGATGCTCCTCGCGTTTTTCGACCATTTCTACTCGTTCGCATTGAACAAAGCGGATAGAAATGATGGAGATGTGAGAAACTTGTCACTGTCAGGGTCTCTTCCCCACTGGGGTGTGTACTAACGACACAACATCAGAATCAGACCCAAGGGCTCGGACTCGTGTCGGAATTAGAATCAATTGGGACCCTGCCACGCGTCCGACTGAAAAATTACGGTAAGTGTGTCACAAGGTCGAGGCACGATACCTACTTCGCGTGACTGTCCGACCATCAGTAGTCCCTGCGAACATGTCGCTCTGATAACAGTCATCCCAGCAGAGTCTTGATCTATATTATGATTCAGTAGGAGAGCACCCATGTACCATATCTCTCTTGTGGCGTTTGTTGGCGTATTAAAATATTCGCAGAGTTCTATGTATCGCCAATCCGATGATCCCATGGCATGCCACACTGCCACGCGCTCGATCCAGATGCCGCATCGAGAAGAGGTATGTAAAAATGACATATGCCCACGTTTACAGGACGGAATAAGCTGCGGAAGGTTGACGTCCACGCTATGTAATGCATAGGTAGGGTCATATCTGGAGGCGCTTGTGCCTAATGGTGTGGACGCGACTTGAGATGCCCCCTCCCCCCCCCGCCAGGGCATGCACTAGAAATGAGGACAACCTTCATCCAGAGTATTCTTTGGTGGAGATGTACGTACGTCATACGCTGCTCTGCAATGGACGGCGTGTCTGGTAATTGTGATACCCTCATCTAGCCGGCCCAGCCCGCGCCGTCCCAGTGCTGCCACACTGTAGTGACAAGGTGGGAACAACCATGGTTTGGATGCAATTTGGCAGTATTGCCTTCATGTTGTACACATGAGCTAACGAACGGAAATGACCAGTTGGACTTTGTCGCCGAACCCCTTGCATACATCCCATTCACTGTCTGGATCCTGTCTCACTACCTGATCAAGTCCAGCCAAGTCGTCTGTCAGGCTCTGACTTGTCAGCTCTGCTGTTCCCCACTCACCTCGTCAGCAGAGCAGCACACCCCTGAGACAAATAAAAACGGTAACACACGTAAGTAGTGACCACGCGAATCTTAGTTGGAGTCCTTCATGTTGATCGGCATACTGACCGAGTTCCATCACTAAGTGTCTCTGCAAGCATGTCGGGTCTTCATGGGAATTCCTCGACACACCGATTCAACTGGTACAGAAGGCTACGCTTCACATAGTAACTCCACGGGCCGGGGCGTGATGGGCCTACGTAACTAACTGCGCATATCATGTGTTGCTCCCTGCTACAACCAACCATCAACCTTGAACTGCGTGCAGGTGGTTGTGGGATACATACTGATCGTTCGGGTACATCATCAGGATCCGCATCCGATTTATCATCGAAGCCTGGTTCCAAGGCACGACCACTCAAGGGGGGCTGACGCAGGAACACGGCTTCGACACACGCACCTACCACTGGACATGTCAGGTACTTCAGATCAAGGGCCTCAGCACACGCGCGGAAACGACCTTTTACAGTTAACCCGTCAGTAAGAAGCAAATTGAGCGTACCTACCGGTATCTCTGCTGGACTTCCCAGCGCTGCCCATGCCAGGTATAGGAGCATGTCTTTCCCACCCACCTATGTCACCTATTTATGAATGAGGAACTAATACGCCTGGGAGGCGCACAGTCCGCATACGCGGAGTGGCACATGACACGTGATGAATCACCGGTCGCCCACTCCCGAAACATACGACATACATACTTAGGTCTGGGACAAAGAATTCTTGCACTTACTTAACGCATACTCCACAATCTATCGTCCATTTGGATGCAGAGTACCATGACGTCAGTATAAAGGTTGTATAATGGACAGGACAGGAGGCCTGGTTCCTAGTCACTTGCATAGATGAGTCCCCTTAGTACTTGGCACGAGAGGAGTAGCGGTGAAGCAGAACTAGTAGGCACAGCCATTTGAATTTTTCCTTACACCCTAGGCAACCCCAGACCAAAGTGGCTGGGAAGGAGCTTGGGTCTACCTACCAAAATTGCCTCATGAAACTACGTGTGAAACCATGCGGCATGCCTAAATAAAGTAACACTTTGCGCCAGGACTCCGAATCACAGTGTACTGACGACTGATTGGAGCGGAGCCTGAATACAATGTTGACTGAATGCTTGTGCATGTTGCAGGTAAATTAGTGGAGGGAATTCATATTAGAGTAGTAAAGTGTTAGGAGACTGCGGGCAGTACATGCAAAACCGTCGCTGTAGCTGCAGGAAGTGAGGCTGCAGACCAAAAGCAGATCTTAGCAGTCACAGCCAAGAGTGTGACAACAGAGCATCTGTTCTCAGAGAGGTGTCCTTCAATGCACATGAGCCAAAGCCTGAAATGCCCTCAGAGTCAACACAAGATGCATCCAATTCACATGAGCCACTTGAGGTGTCCTTGGACCCAAGGTATACTGTGCCCCATTTGCACTTGCTGACATTGCTCCAGCTACAGCACTGCATCAACCTTGATGACAAGATTGATGCAGGACAAGTTCTTATCTGCACTGCTCACTCTGTCATACATGAAGGAATGCTGTGACCACTGATTAGAAGAATAGTAGTGAAGACTTGCTGCAAGATGGACATGGGTGCATGAAAGGTCAAGGCATTTAGAAACATTCATGACTTCACTCACCAGTACACAGCATATTCTCAATGAAATATACATCTGGTCACAGCTTCAACATGAAAACATCATTCCATTGCTAGGAATAATGACAAACTTTGGCCACACAGTATCAATGGTGACAGAGTGGATGGAACAAGGTAATGCACATCAATATGTGTGAGATGTGGCTGTGGATCCCTGACCATTAGTATGCCAATGTTAATATCAACCATGCATGATGATAACCCAGTAGCACAGCTCTTGGACATTGCCTGTGGGCTGAATTACTTACACAGCCACCATTCAGTAATAATCCATGTGTTACACCTTCATCAGGGGTCTCCCCTTTTTCACCTTTTTGTGGTCACATGTGTCACATGCCTGCTCGCATCTCTCGTGGTCATCGCCATCCTAGGGGCTAGAATGCTGCAAGGCTTGTTCAGATCTCCAGCTGTCATGGTATTTCCAATACCTGTTGAGACTGTGCCTTGCTGCTGACCTGGTGTTCCACTGCCCTCTCTGATGGGTCGACATGTTTCTTTCTTGTTCTGAATGACTCATCTTTGTTGCTTGAATGTTGTACTATAGCTCCAGTGTCAGGCTCCTCACTGTGTGTTGATCGTGCAGCTGGTATAGCTTTCGTTTCCATCCCTACCCCCATCATATGGCACTGGGTGACTCATCTTTGTTTATCTATTTGACTGATCATGTTGTTGATTACTGCAGATATGCATCACGACTGCTACGATACTCATACTGGGAGGTATATAAACCTATGTACTTTGTCCTGTATCTGCAGTTTTTTGATAGCTTGCAACTGAGCTTCATCCCTTTGCCTTAATCCTTGTTCTCTCTCTGCATGAACAACCTTAGGGACTCACCAGAAGACAGAACCTCTGTCAGATCATCGCAATAACTCAGCCATAGGGGTTATGACATGTTCGGCCCATAGACTCCCCCTTGTGTGCTTCATGCCTATTCCATTTGAAGAAGTCACTGTGCTTGGGCATAACAAAATCGAAAAACTCAATGCAGTTTTTGGGACTTGTTGACCTCTTCATGAAAGTCCACTTGTCCCTGGTTACTGAACTTCAACAAACCATTTCCCCTTACTTGCACTAGGCTCGTCGCATCTCCCTACACATAAAGACTGACTTGCCTTCATCTTTTCTCATGTAACAACATTGAGAGTCACCCCTCTACCCTAAATCAAATCCACTGCTCCACAGGCAGCCACTAGGCTTTAATAGATTGCCTCCCTAGAGCCAGCACTCATGTCTCCCTATGTGTAAAGTCACTTGCACACCAACCACCCTCTACACTGACAGGTTTCTTTCAAGAAATAAATCCTCCCTCAGCCTTTGTTTTCACTTCTCATTAAAGTGTCTAATCCCCAGAAGTCAAGACCTCCAGTCCCTCCCAGACCCAATCCACTTGGACTTGGAAGGAGTCCTCCTCTACCACCTATACCCCTAGGATGACTCGGTCCTTTGGTAACTGCCACAAACCCTCAGTTGTCTTATCTATCCCATTTTAGGGATTCAGAAGTCATGCTTAGTTCAGAAGAAGAAGATGATCAGAAGTCCAAGACTTCTTTTGGATTGGTCCTCAAGGAAGAACAAGAAGCTTGCAAATCACCTACAATGTCCATGACCCTTGGTCATGGAGAGTCAGCTCTGGAAATGCCTACAAGGAGCATTACCAAAGAGGAGCTGAGAGAGAGCTTGGAATCCCAAAGGCTTGCTATGGCAGAAGAGCTATGAAGAGCTATGCATGCCCAGAATAGTGACCCATTTCCAACAGGAATGCCTATGGACTTGGCCCTATGCAAATGGTATCAGAGAGATTTTGGAAAGGTAATTCCCCCAGAGGTCCCCACCAGTGGGTCCAGTAAGGGTAAGGCCCCAGCCAATCCTGATGATGTGTACAATTGCTGCCCACCCAATGGAGGACAGGAATTTAATGTCAGGCATCCTGGAGAATATGATGGAAGCCACAACGGGCTCCAGACCTGGGTTATGCAGGTCGAAGGTTATTTGAACCTGAACAAGCATGTCTACAATTCGGAATTGCTCAAGATCTCGTTCACACTCACATATATGACAAAAGGTGCCATGGTCTCATTCGGTGAAAATTACCAAAATGAAAACAAGCTCTTAGACAGGACAATCTACTACATGGACACCTTTCAGAGGTTTGTGGAATGTCTTAAGGCTATGTTTGAGTCTGGTGATCAAACTGCTCTGGCAATTTTATGCCTTTCAGATATCCAGCAAGGCAAATGTGAACTTGAAGCTTATATTGCTGAATTCACTGGGCTTGTTAACAAGGCTCAATTAAAGGAAGAGTCACGTGAAGCAGGGATCTTCTTTGGAAAAGGATTGCAGAAAGAGTACCACAATTGGGTTCTGAACTTTGGATGCCCCCCTACCACAGTTATCAAGTGGATACAGTGTGTGGGAGAAGCCAGAACTGCTATCACTATGAAGCATATCCTGGAAGGGAAGGAATCTCGGTATGAAAGGAAATTCATTCATTACTGCAGAGGTTCCAGAGATCCTGATGTGATGGACATTGACAAATGCAAATGGAACGTTAGATGTTCCAGCTTGGAAATTAAATGCTTCAATTGTGGAGCCGAAGGTCACTTCAAGTGTGACCACAAAGTTAAAGTTAAGACTCAACTTTCCAATGTCCATATTGTCCTCTTGGAGGATGGAACGAAGACTGCCTATGTCAGAGATCATGAAGCTAATATGGAGGAGAAAAAGTTGTTGGGTTTTTAAAGGGGACTGATGAATCTCCTGCATTAGTCAGTCCCATTTCTATTTTGTCTGCTAAGTGTACTTCTATAGGTGATGAATCAAATATGAGAGTTTGCTCCCCTCTTGGGTTAGTCATTTTACTGGACTTCAAGGCAGGAATATGGGCCTGTATTGACTCAGGTGCAGAAGTCTCCCTCATCTCGGAATGGATGGTACAAAAACTTCAGATACTGACATATCCTGTCAAGAGCAAGTTTAAAACCACTTTGTTTACCAGAAAGGATGTTG